TATTATGGCATGTTAAAAGTCAAATTCTTATTTAAACCTAATAAAAAAATATAATTTATAATATTTTCTAACCAAGACGTTTTATATATGTCTCTACCTTTCTTAACATAAATCAAATCTAATACCTCAATTTTCCTTAGTGCATCATCGGAAGGCCTCCGTCTTAAAATAAGAGAAATATTTTAATTTCACCTCTCTTTTATCTTAGTAGTTAAATTATTTGTTAAAAGCTATAACTAAACTGAAAACTTGATAGATTCAATTTATTTTCGAATAAGCGTTCAGGTTGCATGGAAAGACTTTTTATTTCAAGTTTTGTGAAAGATAATCCCAAATTTGCCAAACAACTTTTGATGGTAATTAGAACACGAAAAAATGGTAAAGTGCAATTTTGATTTAGGACAGCATTTGTTGAATGCGTCTTTTAATCTGGCGCAAACTGTTTTGCTTATTCTAATTACGTCAAATAGTTTGGTGCATTCAATGAAATACACCATCCTGTTTTTCTAGTTGCTTCTTTTTAAAAAATTTTAATATCTTACTCATACTCTTAATTTAAATTAAACAATTGCTCCTTAAAAAAATCCAATTATATATTATTAATGAAGTGAGAGATGAGTGATATTTTAAAATAAAAGTAAAATAAGAGAAATATTTTAATTTCATCTCTCTTTTATCTTTGAAGTTAAATCATTTTTCAAAAGTTATAGCTAAATTGAAAACTTGATAGATTCAATATCTTCTCAAATAATCGTTCAACTTACGTAGAAGGACCTCTTATTTTAAGTTTTGCGATTGTACATCGAAAAGTTGCTCAAATGAAAGATAATCACAAATTTGTCAAATCACTTTTGCTAATAATTAGAACACGAAAAGATAGTTAAGTGCAATTTTTATTTAGGTAGTACAAAATTAGATTAATTCTTTAATTACAATAATTAAATCAGTGAACTTAACTAATTACATTCCATTACTTAGAAATATCCTTTTCAACTAAACTATACACAAATAGAACTAAGTGATTCTGTGCTACAATCAAACCTGTTTGATTATGATCATTTGCAAAACAATAACAAGAGTATTTGATTAATCAAATAAGAACTTCTATAATCTTGCCAACTACAATAGGGGCAAACTCATTTGACCAAAATCAATAAATAAAATAGATAAACAGAATAAACAGCACTACGAATAAAAGAAAATGATCAATCTATTTCTCCCGCTCCCAACTGTTCTCGTTTCTCCTTCTCGGTTTTTTTCGCTTGAGTAGATCTAAAACAGAATATATGGAGTGTAATTTTAGTAGTAATAGACCTAATGAGGGGATTGTGACTTTGGGCGATCAAGTCATTAATAAGAGTACACGTTTTAGATATCTTGGATCTATTGTTCAGAGTGATGGTGAAATAGATGGGGATATTATCAGCAGAATTCAAGTTGGATGGTTGAAGTGGAGGAATGCATCGGGCTTGTTATGTGATAGAAATGTACCCCTCAAACTTAAGGGAAAATTCTATAAGATGGTAGTGAGGCCTGCAATGCTTTATGGTGCCGAATGTTGGCCTTTAAAAGAGAAGCATAATACTAAGTTAAGTGTGGAAGAGATGAGGATGCTCAGGTGGATGAGTGGCTTTACCCTTAGAGATAGGATACGAAATGAGCATATACGTGAAAAGGTTGGAGTAGCTCCAGTAGAAGATAAGATTAGAGAAAGTCGCCTTAGATGGTTTGGTCACATAAAACGGCGGCCTTGCGATGACCCGGTTAGGAGAGTAGAGGTATTAGATTTGACTTATGTTAAGAAAGGTAGGGGTAGACCTAAAAAGACTTGGTTAGAAAATATTAGGAATGACCTTTCTTTATTAGATTTAATCGAGAATTTGACTTTTAATAGGACACAATGGAGAAAAGGATTCATGTAGCCGACCCCACGTAGTGGGATAAAGGCTTGATGTTGTTGTTGTTGTTGTTGTGGTGGTATGGGTGTAAGTGAGCCGAGACGGCTCACAAGTCAAGTTTATCGAGTTTCGATCTCGTTGGATTATTAAGCTCGAGTTCGAGCCTGATAGTACTCGGCTCAATAACTCGTCAAGCAACTCGATTATCCCGCACATAGAAGATGAATCTCGGCACCTGCGAACATCCAATCGTGGAAGGCGAATAGCGAACTTAGGAAGATGAATAGCGAATTACATAAGACAAATCACGGCCTGTGAAGAAGAATCATAACTTAGGAAGACGAATCGAGGAAGATGAATTGTGAAATCTGCCTTCATCTTCCTGCGAGCTGCGAAAGATAAATCACAGTCTGAGAAGACGAATTGCTTTTTGGGAAGATGAATCGCGGTCTGGGCATCAGCAGAAGGCTTGCTAGCTCGATTGCAGTGCCACAAGTCAGGCTCAATTGAGCTCGAGCTTTCATGGTTTACCTTCGATGTAGATTTCAGAGGATGAAATCAAGGCACTTGCGTTGCATTTGCAATTTTCTATAATTTTTTTTTCCTTCTAAGAGGCCTTCCCTGGACTCTATCCCTAGGTTTTTCTTCTCCCTCAAGCTTTCGAGTGAGGTATATGTTACTTTGCTTGATCAAGTTGAGTAACGACCTTGATTACTGTAGAATTTTTTCCATCGTTCTTACTTAGTTTAAAATTGTTATATGAAGTTGACAAAATGGTCTCCTCTGGTTGATGTTGATGTTGAGTCGCATGTGATCCCTATATGGGGTTCCTTCCCTAATCTCCGCCCTCACTTGTTCTCTCCTCGTATCCTTTTTGGCTTTGGATCGATTTTTGGTATACCTCTTAAGGTTGATTCGGTTACTTCCGTGGTTTCCAGACCTTCTGTCACTCATGTGCTTATTGAGCTTGATATCACGAAATCGTATTCGAATAAAGTTTGGTTGGGTCCTAAGAACCTAGGTTATATTCAACAAGTATATATGGAAATTTTTCCTGCTTTTTGTGGTTAGTGTAAATGTATAGGGCATTTGAGTGGTGATTGCCATCCTCCTCAAGCTGCCCCAACAAACATTGTTCCTGTTCCTCCTTTCCAGTTAAATCAGAATGTTTGTGGTGAGGGTGATAAGGTGGATAATTCGGTTTCTTGTGATGCTAGGGACGGAGCTCCATTTTTGTGTCCCGAAATTGGGAATGTTTTGGTCTGTGACAATAATGTTAGTAATACTGTTGATGTAGTAATTAATGATGTTTATAATTTGTTGAAGGATTCAATTTTGAACTTTGTTGTTGTTGAGACTTCTAAGCCTGACTTGGCATTAAGTGGTTTGCCATATGTTTCTGTCACTAGTGTTGATGCTCCGATTGTCCGGGATGCCCAGTCTCCCGTTTTGGTTGGAATTTCGACTCCTGTGGGTTGTAATTAATTGAGTGTTCTCAACTCGGCTGGTGGTGATGCTATCCTCGTTGTTAACTAAAGCTTGAACTTGAGGGCTAGTCCTTCTAGTGGGAAGGATGAGGAGATGTTGAGAGATGACTCTTCTTAGGAATTGGCTTTGATTGCTGAGCCTGAGTGTAATCCTTTGGTTGTTTGTGATGTGGCCCTTAATGTTTCTTCTCCTCATGTACAGTTGGATAAATATCTTGTTGAGATCCCAGTTAGTTTAATCTCGTCTAATGCTTTTGTTGGCCACGTGGGTGGCAGACCGGGGGGGATAGTGTTAGATTGCAAACTGATTGACTTGAAATTTCCTCTCCCTCTTCTTCTGAAGCTTAAGAATAGGTTGTTTTACCTTAGAAAAGGCTTTTGCGAGATGATCATTTTTGGGTGGGTAAACGTTCAAAGCGGAAATCCAAAAAATAGTTCTTTTATGGTGTGTTTGGTGGCTGCTGTGTTTGTAGTTTTGTGTCTGCTCCTACTTGGTTTCCTGTTGCCTTTTCCGGTTATGTCTTTTGTTGATCGTGCCGATATTGCTACCTTTTTTTTGGCGATGATGTGGCTCGGGCTTATCACTCTGGATCCGTGACTAGTTGGCAACCTTTGATGGTGGTTCTTATTAGCGGTGATGGTAGTTGGTTGGTTTTTGGTGGATTTTTGCACTTTCACTCTTATGGATGATCCGTGCCTGCATTTGAAGTGGTTGGTAGTCTGTGAAAATGCATAGCCTAGTGGCCTTTGTGCCTAATTTTCTCCTCGTTTGCGTTTCTCTTTGTAATCTTCTATTGTATCCAGTTTCTTCTTCGGACATTCTGCTGTTTTGACCTTTGCTGTAACCTTTTTGTCTTTTCGGAATAAGATTTTTATTTAAAAAAAAAAAAAACTAACATGCTCTAATTTTTTTAAGAAATATTTTTTTCTTAAAAAGACAAAAAATCTCACTAATATAATAGCTAAAAAATTTCAAACGTGATGTTGTCCAAATTTTAAAATTCAATTTCTTTCATAATATATTCATGGTTTAGCACTTAAATTTTTTTTCTTAGAGAAAATAAATAAATACCCCACCGGGCTTAGGTGGGTTGGTGGGCGTGCTTGATTGGGAATCCTCCATCCCAAGTTCGAATCCCCACTCATACGGCACAACTCCTTAAGTGAAGAGAAAAGAACTGTGGGTCCTGCACCTGTGGGGTTGCTTGCTGGTAGACTCGCCGAGGGATTAGTTATGCCGCCAAGCGCCTCTTTCGGAAGGTGGCAGTGGATAGATACCCCGTTTAAAAAAATAAAAATAAAAAAAAATAAAAACTTTGTGGAAAAAAAAAAAAAATTCAATGGCGAGTCATGACGATAGAAGCGCGCCCCTTACCAAAATCTATTGGCTTTCTCCCAACAACCACATCGAAAGTCAATAATAGTATTATAGATGATTAAAAAAAAATATTGCCCTTAGCACGTGATGCAAACTTTTTCTTAAAGATACAAAATAAAGAACTATAAGCACTCGTTAAAAAATAAAAATCAAAGTATTATTAATTAATTTTTATATATTAAATATCATTTTAAATATATGTGGTTATTAAATAATTTTAATAAATCCAACAACAGCAGCAGACAGAGAGAGAGATAGAGAGAGAGAGAGAGAGAGAGGGGAAAGCGAGGTACGGAGGGAAAATTGCCATGGCCGCTTCTTCTTCCATCACCAACGCTCAGTCCCTTTTGGTTCGCTTCATTTCCGGCCACCACTCCGCCACCCTTGTCCACCCGGACCAGATCTCTATCCCGACCGGATTTGGCCGTAGCTCGCGAGCTGGCCGAGGCCTAAGGGTCTCCTCCCGCCCGCTTCCGGCGGCATCGACGCCCCGCCTTTTGAATCCTCCGCGTGCGGCCGCGGTCGAGACGCTGGAGGGCAAAGCCGGAACGACTGAGCTTGTCGAGAAGTCGATCAACACGATACGGTTCCTGGCCATCGATGCGGTCGAGAAGGCGAATTCGGGTCATCCTGGGCTGCCTATGGGTTGCGCCCCCATGGGTCACATCCTTTACGATGAGGTCATGAGGTATAACCCAAAGAATCCCTATTGGTTCAACCGCGACCGTTTCGTGCTCTCTGCTGGCCATGGCTGCATGCTCCAGTACGCTCTTCTGCATCTCGCTGGTTATGACAGCGTCCAGGTGAGTTGCTTCTTGTTTTAGAATATTTTTTGTTTGGGATTTGGAGGTTGGTAGCTTGATTTTGTTGCGGTTTGAGTTTAAAATTTAGATTTGATGGTGTGCTTGCTATGTATTCTGCTGAAGTGTGGGCATTTGGAATGTTTAGATGTGATTTAGGATCTAAATAAAATTTTATTTGCCAAAAAGGTTTTGCCTGTTTTCCAGATCAAAGAAATCGCTTTAAGCGTCCGGATTCCAAGATTCTTAGGTTATCTTTAAGCAGTAATAAAATAGGAAAGGTTGAACGCATGTAGTGAAGAATATGCTTGACCTTAACCTAGACGGATTAACCTCTTATTCATTCAGTTCTTTGAATTTTTTATGCATATCTTTATGCAAGTTGGAAAAGATTGTTTTGTCCATCATTTGGCTTTGTTTTAATTAGTGAGCACTCTGTAACATTACCAGTTTAAAATTACTGATCATGCCTTTGACATTTCAGCCAAAATAAGCTGAGCATTTTGTTGTGAATGAATTCGATTTTATAAGACACTTCCTAATTAGTAAAGCTCTCCATGTTCTACTTTGATTTCTTAGGAGGAAGACTTGAAGCAGTTCCGTCAGTGGGGAAGCAAAACACCTGGTCATCCTGAGAACTTTGAAACACCGGGTGTTGAAGTCACAACTGGTTTGCTTCAAACTAAATGAAATTAGGATTGATGTAGTATACGAGATTGTTTTTAGCAGTCAATAATCTCTGTAAAGTTATATATTTTTCTTTTTTTTTTTGTGGTGTATAGGTCCTCTGGGTCAGGGAGTTGCCAATGCTGTCGGATTAGCACTTGCTGAGCGACATCTTGCAGCTCGTTTCAATAAACCTGATAATGAGATTGTCGATCACTATACGTAATAGTCATCATTCTTCAAATATTTGTTCCATATTACATGCTAATTTGTGGAATGTGCTGATATCTTGCTAACATAAATAATGCTTTTTTGTAGATATGTTATTCTTGGAGATGGTTGTCAAATGGAGGGCATTTCGAATGAAGTTTGTTCTCTTGCTGGGCATTGGGGTCTTGGCAAATTGATTGCTTTCTATGATGATAATCACATTTCAATTGATGGGGACACAGAGATTGCATTTACTGAAGATGTGACTGCCCGTTTTGACGCCCTTGGTTGGCACACTATTTGGGTGAAGAGTGGCAACACCGGCTACGATGACATCCGAGCTGCAATCAATGAAGCGAAGGCTGTCAAGGACAAGCCCACATTGATCAAGGTCTGTTGCTTCCAATGTTATAGTAGTTTTTTCTTTCTTTCTCCTTTTTTTATTTAAAATGCTTGAAGTCTTGTTGAATTTTGTACCATTTGCAGGTCACAACTACCATTGGGTATGGCTCACCCAACAAGGCAAACTCATACAGCGCACATGGAAGTGCATTAGGTGCAAAGGAAGTTGATGCAACAAGGCAGAACCTTGGATGGCCATATGAGCCTTTCCATGTGCCTGAGGATGTGAAGAGGTGTTCAAACTTAAAATACTGCCTAACATTTGTTCCTTTTTATTTTCTTAATGTCTTTTCCATACATTGAATCCTTCTGTTATCACCTCGGTTCAGCCATTGGAGCCGCCATGTCCCCGAAGGTGCTTCTCTTGAAGCAGAATGGAATGCAAAATTTTCTGAGTATGAGAAGAAGTACAAAGAGGAAGCAACAGAGCTGAAAGCCATCATCTCTGGAGAACTTCCTGCAGGATGGGAGAAAGCTCTGCCGGTATAGTTTGTATTACTCATTCATTTAACTGTGTTTGTCATTGTAGTCACCAAACAGTATTACCATTTCTTCTTCTTCTTTTCTTCAGACTTACACCCCGGAGAGCAACGCAGATGCCACTCGGAACCTCTCTCAGCAATGCCTTAACGCACTTGCGACTGTCCTCCCAGGTTTCCTTGGAGGAAGTGCTGATCTTGCTTCCTCCAACATGACATTATTGAAAAGCTTTGGGGACTTCCAAAAGGCCTCTCCAGAGGAGAGAAATCTCCGTTTTGGTGTTAGAGAACATGGTATGGGTGCCATCTGCAATGGAATTGCTCTCCACAGTCCTGGTCTCATTCCCTACTGTGCAACATTTTTTGTTTTCACTGACTACATGAGAGCGGCAATAAGGATCTCAGCTTTGTCTGAAGCCGGAGTCATTTATGTCATGACACATGATTCTATTGGTCTTGGTGAAGATGGCCCTACTCATCAGCCCATTGAGCATTTGATGAGCTTCAGAGCCATGCCCAACATTTTGATGCTCAGGCCAGCCGATGGAAATGAAACTGCTGGTGCTTACAAGGTTGCAATCCTTAACAAAAAGAGGCCATCAATCCTTGCTCTTTCACGACAGAAGCTTTTGCAGCTTGCAGGGACTTCAATAGAAGGAGTACAGAAGGGAGGGTATGTTATCTCAGATAATTCTTCTGATAACAAGCCAGATATCATTCTCGTCGGCAGCGGCTCGGAGTTGGAAATCGCCGTCAAGGCTGCCGATGAGTTAAGGAAGGAAGGAAAGACTGTTCGAGTTGTTTCGCTTGTGTCTTGGGAATTGTTTGATGAGCAGTCCGATGAATACAAGGAGAGTGTCTTCCCTGCAGCTGTGACTGCTAGAGTAAGTATTGAGGCTGGAACCACATTTGGTTGGGAGAAATTTGTTGGAAGGAAGGGTAAGGCTATTGGGATCGACCGGTTTGGAGCCAGTGCTCCTGCTGGGAGAATATACAAGGAGTTTGGCTTGACGCCGGAGAATGTCATTGCTGCAGCTAAGAGTTTATAATCTTACTCTAGATTTAAGCCATTTATCCTTTAGGAAGAGAATCCTGTCTCTCAGACCATCGCTGGAGTTTCTAGGGACAGATGAGAGAACAGTTTGAGATGATTCGCTTCTGCTTGCTGGATGCAATAAAATTTGATCATTTTACTTTAGATCTTTCCTCACGTATGTTATTGAGCCTGATTGTTGTACTGAACTGCCTTTTCTATATAACTACATGTTCTATGTACTACTTAATTTTGAATGATTTACATGAGAATAAATGAATTGCGTTATGGAGTTCAACCTTTTTTTATTCATCCTATTCCTTAATCCTTTGTTGTGAAGGGCAGACACTGAAACAGGGGAAATATTGTGGTGTGCATTTTCCCTTGATTCTTGATGGCGCTCTAATTGTTTGCAATTGTTATATTTCAGAATCAAGTGTGGCTGCTGAAACAAGCAGCTTTACTTGCTTCATTCTAATGCAGGTGAACCTTAATCATTCGTATATCATTGACATCTGGTATATCTTCTTTTATCCTACTATGTGGATTAGCTACATGAACTTTTCTTCTTTGGTGTGTTACGAGTCAAACTCTCATTTAAATCTAAAAAAAAATAAATGTTATTTTTAATATTTTATAAAAGAAATTTAAGGCCAAACTTCATCATTTTTAACATAACCTGAATTTAATATCTCTTTACTTTCCTAATAGGGTCATTGGAAGGCCGACAATTTATGTGACCAAATCATTTAAGACGATTCTCTCTAAACTTATCTTTCAATGGAGCAACTCCATCCTTTTAATATATACTCATTTCATATTATATCCCTAAGTTTAAAGTCACTCATCCACCTGAACATCCTCATCTTTGCAACACTCAAGTTAATTTTATGCTTCTTTTTTAATCTCCAACATTATGCGACATAAAACATTGCAGGTGTAACAACTATCTCATAAAAATTTTCTTTATGTTTGAGGGGTATTTATTTATTAGACATCCAGACTTGTGCATTCCTCCACTTCTACCGTCCAATTTGAATTATACTAATAATATCTCATCTATTTCATCATTGTTTTAAACAAAAATTTGAGATATCTAAAACATGGACTCTTTTTAATGATTTAATCTCCCAATATTTAAACACATATTTCTAAAGTGCAAAAAAATAATGTGAGAGGACAATTAATGTGGAAAACAAAATTATACATGAATAAAATGCTTTTGGTCGGCTTTTTTTTAGTTAAGAAAGGTAGGGGTAGACCTAAAAAGGCTTGGTTAGAAAATATTAAGAATGACATTTTTTTATTAGATTTAAACGAGAATTTGACTTTTAATAGGACACAATGGAGAAAAAAGATTCATGTAGCCGACCCCACGTAGTGGGATAAAGGCTTGTTGTTGTTGTTGTTGTTGTTTGGTCGGCTTTTTTTTAGTTCAGGATCCTCAAGGAGGCCATCATAAGGAGACGTTTGGTTAAAAGTAGGATTTCATAAATTTTATGACGCATCTCTTCTTAGTTTGTTGGTTGGGAGTTTTGGCTTTTAATTAAGAAATCATATGTTTGAGTCTCACATATGTGTTGTATATGTGTTTGGGCGTCGTCCGTAATTTAAAAAAAAAAAATTTTGAAATTTAGTAAATGTCAAAAGAATTAAAATTCAAAAATTATGTGACATGATAATTATTAAAATTTGTTAAAATTTGAAAATTTATTTAACTATCGGTTTTAAGATTAAAAATTTACGAGAGAAAAATTTCTCAAATTTATGAAATTATATAAATAATGATATTTATGCAGCTCATTTTGATCCGTTAGTTGGAAGTTTTGACTGTCAACATAGATGATTTGGGTTGAAGTCTTGCCTATGTTATGTATGCATGGATTTATCTTAATTTATCTAAATATTTTTAAAAAAACTTATAAAATCCGAATTTAATTATTAATATGCCTTAATTGAATTGTCTAATATAATTTGACTTAAATTCTTCCCACGATAACATCTAATGTTATTTAGTCCGTGGAGAACGAATCTTGCGTGCTTAAGCCATCTACTTTTTAGTGGCGACCATGTTCGGTTTAGGGGCCCCACCCCCACCAAACAATGGGTTAGGTGGGACGGGCCCTAACTCGAGAAAAAAACCCGTACCAATCTCCGCTCCACAAAGCCCGAAAGTCATCTTCGCCACGTGTTGATTTACCTATGGTGGTCAGAATCTTGTCCACATTTTTCATTCAACCCCTTCAATTTTTCGTAAAAGCATAAACAAATGATGCAAAATTTTCACATACGAAAGATGCAAACTGTTATGGAACATTTAAGAAAGCATTTACAATAATTTTGAAAATATTCAAGCTTGTAATTTTTATATTTTGGTAAAAATTTAAGGAAAAAAAAAAAGATATTTACAATAATTTGAGATTGGAAGTGACAAAAGTGCATAATAATAAGTTATAAATTAAAATAAGGGATTGATATATAACATATCATAATATATATAATAATATATAAAATATTAGATACGTTTTCAAAAAAATTCACTTCTTTGCATTAGTTTTTATGTATTATTTGTATTTAAAATTTCTTTATGTTAAATTCGAAGCTATCTAAGACTTGATTTTAGCAAAATTATAATCAAACTGAATGTCTCAACAAAACAAGCCCAATAATACTAATGGTGATTCAATCTGAGTTCAAATGAGCCCAAATCATGACCATTAGGCCCCGTGGTTTTTCCCCCTTTTACAGGGGTTTTCCACGTAAAAATCTTGGTGTCTCATAAATGCTAGACCCTCTCTCCTTATCTGATTGCGTGCCATATTTTTGTACAACGCTAAGACGATAAACTTTATATTTCTCTACCGCCGCGAATACTCCTGGGCGCAACAAATGTTATCAAACAATTTTCAGGATTTAGGCCCCTCAATATTTTTGAAATCTGAATTTCCAAAATCCGGATTAAACAAATTTACGAAATCCTACTAAAATGAAATATTGGTTGCAACCAAACCTCCCCTTAGAGTTCTGGCCAATGCCTATGGGTTATTAAAGCTTCGTCGTTTAAGACAAATTTTTTACTATTTTTTAAAATAGTCTTTAGTATAAAAAATTTTTAAACTAAAAATTAAAGCTTCATCATTTGAGAAGATGCATTAAGGCTAAGATTCTCAACATAATCTTGACAGTGAGCTCACATAGACAACTCTTATGTGTTCTGTGTAATTGGAGTGTGGAGATTGGAAGTGACAAAAGTGCATATATAATGATAAGTTACAAAAAAAAAAAAAAAAGATAATAATAAATAACATATCATAATATAATACTAATATAAATTATTTCATACGTTTCCAAAAAAAATCACTTATTTGCACCAATTTTGATGTATTATTCGTATTGAAAATTTTTGAAGTTAATTCAAAGCCATCCAAGATATGATTTTAGCAAAATTATAATCAAATTGAATGTCAGAGCAAAACAAACTCAACCACGCTAAAGGTGGTTCAATTTGAATTCAAATGAGCCTACTACATTAAGATCATAAAGTATGATTAGAAATGTCATGATATTAATTGAAGGGTCAAAGGGTTCCCAAATCTTGCGTGCTTATAATCAAATCAAGTAGCTGAATGAGATAAATCCAACGAGTCCACATTCATTTAATTTAGAGGTCGTTAAGGCAGTTAAATATTGAATCAAATATTTGAACTCAAAGGATTATCCGATGCAATATTATAGAATTTTTGTTGAATTTACTAAAATGTCACCTTCAAAAGAATATAAGTAGGCATTCATTCTTTACATGAAAGTGCATAGATTGGAGATTGGAGAGAGTTTTAGAAATGTAAAGAACTCTAGAGTTCAACTCGACATTCAACATTGATGATCACCACTAGCCACTGTTGACGTCTAAATGCTATCATCTGATCATTGCCACCTAATCATCATCTATCGATCACTGTCGCCCGATTGTCATAGTCCAATCCCTTCATCCAACAACTTTCAACTTATTATAACTAACATCATTTATCTACCATCATCATCCCTCCACTATTTCTCTTATAATCTTAACTAGAACTACATTAGATCAAGAGAATACTTTCAATTTTGTAATTTTGCTTTGGCTAATTATGCATAAAAGTTGACTTCTATAAAAAATATATAATGAATTATTTCAGTAGTGTTAGACTCGACTCAGAACATGTGGTTTTTCATTTTTAAAAAATTTTAATGTAAAAATTAGCATCTCAAGACTTTTTCAATTTTATTTATGTGAATGCTGGATTTTCGTGCAAAGCTAAGAAGTAAAATTATATTTTTATTTCCACAAAGTTTTTGGCCCATCATAAACTTAATATTAAAAAAAAAAAGTTAAAAAAAATTATATTTAAAAGTTTTAATTGAATAATATACAAGCCTTCATCAATTTTAATATATTTCATAAAATTTTTTTAACAAAGGTGTTCATGAACATAAATAAATAAGCTGGATTGTATTTTTTTTCTAAAATTTAAATAAGAACGGATTACTTATAGTAATATGCAAATAATTTCCATAAAACTTGTTAAAAAATAGTGTTTTTTTTTTTGGAACCCGGGTATCTACCTGCTGCCACTTTAAAGGGAGCGCTTGATCGCGCAGTTAATCCCTTGGCGGAACTTAGCAACTCCACCCACGACAACGGGCCCAAATTTGCTTTGCCACACTAAAGAGGTAAGGCCGTAGAAGAGACGATTCGAAACCTGGATGGGGGGTTCCCAACCGTGCTCGGCCACCCACCACCCTAAGCCTCGGTGGGTAGGGTTAAAATTTTCAAACTATGATTTTGACTAAGTATACAAATATTAGTTACAGAATAATAGAAGGGTACAATCGTAAATAACTAAATTTGGCAAGAGTTATGTGCAAGGCAACGGCGGAGTAACGCGGGTCTTTGGTAGGTGGCGACTCCTCAGAACCAGACGAGGACGGCGGTGTTTGGTGGGAGAGCGTCAATCTTCTCATTATATCTTCAATTGATCTCACTCACCTCTAGCGAAACCGAGGGAGGAAAGCAGAGAAATGGAGATGGCCCAATCGTCAATAGCGAAGGGAGTTTCCACCTACCCCCGGTCCTCACCTTCGCCGCGTTTCTCCCCGGCACGGCGGCAAGCTCTGCTTTCCTCTTCAATTAGGCTAGGCTCCGTTTCCGACCGGAAGGGATTCTCTTCTTTTAGAAAAGTAGACAGCCGGAGGTTGCACGACCATGTTACAGTGTCGCCCATGAAATCCTTTAGGATTTCGGCCTCGGTGGCGACGGCCACTGAAAAGCCTTCGACGGTGCCGGAGATCGTGCTGCAGCCCATCAATGAGATCTCGGGCACAGTTAAGCTTCCCGGATCCAAGTCGCTGTCCAATCGGATCCTGCTTCTTGCAGCGCTATCGGAGGTGAGATGACGATCTTCGCCTTTGTACTCTTTTGGTGATGAGCAACAAAATTTGGTTTCTTGCTTGGTATTTAACTTTTGCTGGGTTGAAGTCTACTAAAATGTGTAAATAGATTAGCTTTCAGATTTTTGATACAAGAGCTCGAGGTAAATAGGATTGCATATTTTGGAGATTCATCCCGCGTTCTGATATAATGTCACTTTGATGCAAATGGAACTGTAATTCTAAGGAGATTTGATGTCCATAGGTACATCAGGCCTTTGGGGGCAAAACAAACAACCGTTATATGGGGCTGGAAGATCTATTTCTTCTTGGTCTGCATGGATCACTTTAATGTGTTTGTCTGAAATGTTCCCTAAATTTCGATTGTTTCTCCTGACAAATTCAACCTCAACAGATATAACAATCATACTTTCACATAAGAATGCATGGAGCATTTCCATCAATGTTCCATTTGACTGTTGAAGTTTTTAATGCAATTACACTATGTAAACCTTTCTATGAAAAGAAACTTATTATGGAAGATTTACATGCGAAACCACTTTAATATTTTTAAGGTCTTTTCTCCTTTCCCAAATATTCTACTTGCCAGTTTATAATTGCTTAGATCATTTCGCTTTGCTCATTTTCTGTATTTGAAGCTTATTCTTTATCTTAAACAGGGAACTACTGTTGTTGACAACTTATTGGATAGTGATGATGTCCGATATATGCTTGCAGCTCTCAAAACCCTTGGCCTTTCTGTAGAGGATGATCCTTCGGCAAAAAGAGCAACTGTTGTTGGATCCGGGGGACAATTTCCTGTAGGAAAAGATTCCAAAGAAGAGGTTCAGCTTTTTCTGGGCAATGCAGGAACTGCAATGCGCCCTTTGACAGCAGCTGTAACAGCAGCTGGTGGAAATGCAAGGTCCTTATAAGAACTTGGAAATTTTTTTAAAACTTTGCATGCTGAATGGCTATGCATTTCTTCAGCTGTATAGTCTACTAAATTGATTGGGAATGTGGTACAGCTACGTCCTAGATGGTGTTCCACGGATGAGGGAGAGACCTATAGGAGACTTAGTTGATGGCTTGAAGCAACTGGGTGCGGACGTTGATTGTTTCTTGGGCACAAAGTGCCCACCTGTTCGTGTTAATGCTAGGGGAGGCCTTCCAGGGGGCAAGGTAAGGCATATTTTAGCGTCTGGATAACTAAAAAATGTCGAGATTCATCTCGAATCGAACTCCATTTTGCGCCCTTCTACGAAAGTAACCGTCTTTCTACTCTTTTGCCTGTTTCTTCGGCAAATCTGGTAGAGACAGAAAAATAGCGCAGGTGAACAGTGGGACGTCAATATTTGCATCTCACTGTTCACCCGCAACCAAATAGCAGAAGTTTTGCCATTTGGTTGGAGCTCGCGAGCGACGCCATTTATGCGTTTGGAGTTCGGTTGGAGAAGGCCTAATATGTTCAATTTTGTATTTGCAACTTTTGTGATTTATAGCTCAAATAAGATGCTAATGTTTCTATTGCGAGTTGTTATTCTTGTTATTGAAGTGTAACAATCATAGATTTTGATTCTAGTTAATTAAGATTGTTGTATTACTAACATGAGTACTAGAATATAACTGTATTTCATCCAAATGAATATCTGTAGCGTAGTTCTATCGTCATTTAATAAACAATGCAGATAAAATCTATTGCAACGGCATTTAGAAGAACTTTTACAAAACATAAAGTTTATGTGGAACTTTACAGATAATAACGAGGAATAGCCTTATGATCCTCTTACATTTTCTCTATGCTATTATAGTTAATTTCCTATCAGATTTTTTTATTCCGTACCATCTTCATCCATTTTCATGATAGACTAGTTATATTTTTAGTCTGTAGAACTATGTTCAATTTGGCGGTCAATATGGAAGTATCAAACAGTTAGGTTGATAGAATGCAACTAAGAAACTTTATTATCTGGAAAAATAAGCATAGTCTATGATCTCAAAAAATTCTTTTTGTTAGATTTCTTTTTCTTCACCTCCAACTCTTAACAGAGTGGCTGTTAATCTTTGTATCTTGTATCTACTTTTTCAGGTTAAGCTCTCTGGATCTATTAGCAGCCAGTATCTGACTGCATTGCTCATGGCATCTCCCCTTGCCATTGGAGAGGTGGAAATTGAGATTATTGATAAGCTAATTTCAATCCCGTACGTTGAAATGACTCTGAAATTGATGGAACGTTTTGGTGTCACTGTAGAGCATTCTAGCTCCTGGGATAGGTTTTTCATCAAGGGTGGTCAGAAATACAAGTGAGTTGTTAGACTAGCTAAATCTGCAATGAACCAGGATTAAATGAATAGTAGACTAATCCCTATAAAATCTTGCAATAGATCACCTGGAACTGCTTATGTTGAGGGAGATGCTTCAAGTGCTAGTTATTTCCTAGCTGGCGCAGCTGTCACCGGCGGAACTGTCACTGTGGAAGGCTGCGGCACAAGCAGCTTGCAGGTATTAGCATCCATATTGTTAACATCTGAAACTTTAAGGGGCTGTTTGGTAGCAGGATTTAGGCCGGATTTGAGCGAAATCCAGCTAAACAGCCTAAAATGCATAACCAAATCTCACGGCAAATGAAAGATGCCGTAGAAGGAAAATTCTGCCTTTCCGTGCTAAACCCAGGATTTCCGAAATCCTATTTTTTGCCGGATTTACGAAATCCGTTGGCTCCAGAGGAGTCTGCTCGTTAAATCTGTTCTATAGCCAAACAGTCACACGAAATTTAATTGGATTTATCATGAATGTTACCAAACAGTTTTCAGGATTTAGGCCCCTCGGGATTTCTGAAATCTGGATTTAGCGGATTTACGAAATCTTACTTAAAATAAATCCTGGGTGCTACCAAACAGCCCCTAAGCATCTATTGGATCGAATGATCTATATTTAGAACCTAGGAATTTGTTGTTCTTGGATTCAGGGTGACGTTAAGTTTGCCGAGGTACTCGAGAAAATGGGAGCTAAGGTTTCTTGGACTGAGAACAGTGTCACTGTTACTGGGCCGCCTAGAGATCCTTCCAAGAGGATGAATTTACGGGCCGTTGATGTGAACATGAACAAAATGCCTGATGTTGCCATGACGCTGGCTGTGGTAGCTCTGTTTGCTGATGGCCCAACAGCCATAAGAGATGGTAGGGTTGTGGAATATTGTAATTTACTAATTTTATTCAAAGTTTATTGCTTTAAACTTTTTTATCATTACATTTTAGGAATTTTTTACATACATAACACAAAACTATTGAAAATACATATTTAACAACTAAACTTCTATATTTATTAATATACCACATTCCATTTAAACCCTCCGTAAAAAATAACTATTAGCGGCTATCTTACATTCTTAACCTGTCAATAGCATCCTTTCACAGTGAATACAATTATCTCATCGCTTCAATTAGGTGGTAGGAATAGAAAGAAAGGGGGATTTTATGTGGTATATTAGTAAATATAAAAGTTTAGGTGTTAAATATGTATTTTCAAAATCCCTAAAATTTATATATCATACATCATCCACTGCCCTAAATATCAATCTTCTTCTAGTTGCTTCCTGGAGAGTGAAGGAAACCGAACGAATGATAGCCATTTGCACAGAGCTCAGAAAGGTAAGCAAACCTGGTTTAACAAATCAAAGCTGCCATTGGTTTTCCCTTAGTGATTTTTGATTTACTCTTCGTTTTTTGCTCTCAGCTGGGAGCTACAGTTGAGGAAGGTCCTGACTACTGTGTGATCACCCCACCAAAGAAATTGAATCTCACAGCCATCGACACCTACGATGATCACAGAATGGCCATGGCTTTCTCCGTTGCTGCCTGTGCTGATGTTCCTGTGACTATTAAAGACCCGGGCTGCACTCGAAAGACCTTCCCAGACTATTTTGATGTCTTGAAGAGGTTTACAAAGTACTAATCAAAGGCTAGCCATGTAGGGAAAATTATTATGTCCGGTGTCCGGATTCGTCCGGACACCAATCCAGACGCGCTACGTCACTCAGATACACCCAAGGCCCAGTGTACCCGTGTGATGTGGTGCGTCTGGATTGAATGTCCGGATGGTCCGGTCACCTGACGTAATAATTTGCCAGCCATGTAGACATCCAGGTTTCAAGGATGTCTTATGTAAGTGGTTTCCGGTTGTGTTGTATGATAAAAGCATTTGTTGTTGCTTCTAAGGGCATAAATATTGTCATCTTTATGTTTATTTCGAAACTATTATTATTTGTCTGAGTCTCACTTCTGATTGCTATTAGATTGTTATTTAAGGAAAAATTGGCTGGAAAAAAAAATTTGTTACTGTGGAGAGAAGTGGTGAGAAAATTTTTCAAAGATGACGAAATGTCAAGAGCGACTTTTGTTTCCAGAACTTTTGTTTCAATCTTAACTCAATTTAAGCTAGTTTTAAATCAGTGAAATTTGCCAAATAGTATTTTTTAGGAGAATTTGCCAGGATGGTGGGTTTTAATTTTTATTGTCTTGTTCCATTAGACAAGCTATGAAAAAGTTGGAAATAACTCCAATGGTCATTTAGATTAGAGAGAGTTGTCTTAGATGATTTGATCATATAAAATATCAGCCTTCAAATGATCAGTTAGAAGAATAGATGTGTTATATTCAACCTATATTAAAAAAGATAGAGATAGATTTAAATTTTTTTATTAAAAATAATAGAAATGATATTTTTTATTAAATTTAAATGAAAATTTGATTCTTAATAAGATAAAACAACAACCACATCAAACCTTAGTCCCATTATGTGGGGTCGATTGCATGAATCTTTTTTTTTTTTGCAAATGTATCCTATTAAAAGTCAAATTCTCATTTAAATCTAATAAAGAAAAAATATTTCTAAAGTTTTCTAACCAAATCTTTCTTAATAAGATACTGAAGAAAAAATAATTCATATAACTCATATAACGGTGGGATAAATGCTTGATTTTATTATAGACAAGGTGGTTTAAGCTACATCTATCCCTTGAACAAAGTTAAGATAAGCTTAATCACCTTGGGCTTATCTAAGCATCATTTAAGTCTCTCCTTCCCTACATCACCAGATTATTCAGTACTTTTGTGACTCATATTAATTAATACTAAGCAACATTAATGCTTTCGTATCATACTATTTGTTTATTTGCTCATTTGCACATGAACAATAAGAATACATGGGTGAACAGTAGAAGTGCAGTGGTGAACAGTACTGTGCTTTTGCTATTCACATTCACAAAATCGAACCGTTCTCTATGTCTGAACTCCGCACGTAATAATCTCACCGCAAAATGCAAAGTAAGCATTCTCTCACTCTATACTACTACATTATGCCTAGAGAATTTAAGGAATGCTGAAGTTACTACTAACACAATTACCATCCAATTCATTTTCTCTGTTGTTACTCATCAACGCCTACCTAATATTTTTCCATCTCAGCTTACAGATCATACATATTAGAAAATATAGAACTAAGAACATTCAAAACTGCAATTGTTCATCCAATTGCAGAAGGGAAAAGATTGAAAGACCCTCAATCGGTTCTAACATAGTAAATGTTTCTAAAACAGATCATCCTGATTCCCATTATTACAAAAAAGAAATATTTAGCATTTTTAACAACGAAGGTTATAACAAATTTAACAACCAAATAATCACTTCAACGGGAAAGAAACTAACCTTGAGGTATTTGCTTCTGCGAGCGAGTCATTAAGGCTTGTACAATTAGCCAAGCCTGATACCCTGTGACGCTAGTCAGCAGCCATAATGCTAGAAATCTTCATCTATCAAAAACTTTGCTTGGCAAGCAATCCAGGAAGCTAAAAGAGAGGATTCGACTCCATACTAATTTCCTGATGAAAGATCAACCATCTTAGGCTTCATTTGGGACGGCTTTTTTACTGCTTCTTAAAACAAGCTTTTTAGTACAAAAGTTAAAATTTTTGTACTCGAAAGCTGCTTTAAGCAGCATAAAAAAATCATCCCAAATGAAGCCTTAATCTGCCACACTCTGCAATTCCTGCAACTGCGTCCATTCTGAAGGCCACCATTCAGGTCTAAAAGCCTTTACCCTCACATCAGTTTTGTCTTTTATAGCCAGCGTTGATGGCTGCTTTAAAGCTGCTTCTAATTTCAGTAATCCCATTCCTCGGCTTCCAAGGGCAGTATTCACAGTCCCAACCTTCTTTTTAGAATCTTTATCTACTACTTCAGAGCCTGGAGAAACCTCTTGAGCTAATTCTATATAATTCGGAAGAAAAACAAATTGAAACATCAAAAAATAAGGAGAGAAACAAAATAAACAATGGACTAAGGCTTTGTTGGGACGACTTTCTTACTGCTTGTTAAAATAAATTTTTAATATAAAAATTTTATTTGTTGTATTAAAAAGCTTCTTTAAGTGATAAAAAAGCCGTCCCAAATGAAACCTAAATTTCATTGCCTTACCTTTTCCGAAGTCATCGGTGAATATCAATGGAAGTAAGCGTTTTCGTATGACACCGCGATGATGTGTTCGAGCAACAAGCTCTTGTCCAACGTAACATCCCTTGTCAAAGGAGATGGCATTCAACCCTTCCAGATTGTATTCAAGAGGAATAGCCTCACCTGTATTAAAAAAACAAGACTGTTGTTAAGGAAAAAGGTCTTCTGAGTACGTCAGCCAAAATATCAGAAGCTTCAAAAGATCAGTTATCCATCAAAAGCGCTAATAATGTGAGTGATACAAATAACAAATTTACTCCACTTGAAAGGAAAAAAATGCAGCTTTAACAGAAATTTTGGCAGAAATTTACAATGGTTAAAACTAATGTAAATTTCTTTATAGCTGTTCAAAAACTACCACACAGGTGCTGCAATTGATTTCCGGCAATAAGGGGGGGTCCCACACATCCATGGGAATAACTCTGCCTCCTTCACATGCCGAAGATTTCCCAGCAACTATTTTCACAACAGTATTGGGATCCATAGGCTCCACTATGCTGCTAATCATAGTATGAATCCTTAACCACATGGGTTGAGGAGCTTAGCCATTTGATGTTCTTCCTCTCGCCCAGATAACCGCCAACACCCCCTTTTTTGGGTTTTCTTTATTTCATTTTATTTTGTGTGATTAACATTGATGTATTATCATATGTAACAATATTGGAGTAGCCTACATACAGCTCCAAACATTGTACAAAAAGCAAGCAACCAAATTCAAACTACTTTTTTATATTTTTGCTTTTTAACATGGTATAGAAGTGAGGTTAGGGCTTCCTTTTTCTAACATTTATTCTTTTTTCTTTTTCCTATCTAGATCCTTCTTTCTCTTTATAATGACTAGTTTCTTTGACTTCTCTTTGAAGGAGGAAAATCAAACTAAAGGTGAACTTCAGGGCTAAAAGTATTATATTGCCTGAATGAAAAAGTATTTGAAATGAACCCAAATTGCAAGATATTTATGTAAAAAAAGAGAGATTCAAAATCTTGTTATAATCATCCAATTTTTTTTTGAAATAAAAAATCTGAATTCCAGCATTATGGCTTGCTGAAGAAGAGAGAGGGAAGAGCGAGAAGGTTTTTCGAGGCTTTTACATCCGTCAATTTTGTTCAGAGACATTTTCTATGTTATGTGTGGAATTTGATTGTGTTGATCAATATGGTTATCATGTTGTCTTGGACTTCAAAGTTTGTTTTGTTTATTGGGGGGTGTGGGGTTTACCCCTTGCTTGGGTTTGGGTTCAAAAAAAAAAAAAATTCATGTACAACGCCTTGACGCTGCATACCCAAGCGCTCCAACATTGTGTTCACGAGTGCCCCAGCGCTGAATGACAGATAGTAGAGCGCCACAACGGTATAAATACAACCTGCAACGGTGCGAGACATAGGCTTCAACGCCCCAAACTAGCGTCATAGCTCCGCGAGGCCGACTAGATGATTTTCTTTCTCGTTTTTCTGAAGGGTTGCATCCCTTGAGATTATTTTACTTGACTTTCTCTTGTATTTTTGTAGAGTGTAGACATTGAGAACGATGCATTTGAGAAGAGAAGCAAGGAGAGAGAGAGAAAAGAGATATGTACTTATTTCTCCCAATTTTCATAGTAGATTTCTTGTTGTGGTGTGGCTCCGTAATTTTTCCCTATTTTGGGGTTTCCACGTTAAATCTTGGTGTTTTTTACTTTTTCGCTACTTTTACTTTCTTGCTCGTTTGGTCATTGTGGTGTTTACTCCTCATCTCCCCAACATTTTACTCGTTGCAAGTAACTCAAATCACATTTTAATTTTAAATGATTTTAATTTTTATATAGATTTTTTTGTATTGAATAGAATTGATTATTTCCTACTGCATTTTGATTAAGACATTTGCATAAACAAAAAAACGCTAGTTGTTAACACTATAAAACAGGTTGACTGTTAAAACATAATGTCTTACACATGAGAATGGACCGACGAGCTTTCTTTTAAAGATGGTTTGTGGTGTATCCCGGTTGTAGCATCCAACAAATGATCGATTACGCCGACAGGCAGAGAGTGATGACTCTTTGTTGATTTAATGAAGTGACATGTAATGATAATTGATTAATTGAATATGATAATTGTTGGATAAGTGATAATTGATATAACTGATGACCAACTGTAAATCAGTTGGAGTAAAAAATGTTGAAAACAACATGTTAAATCTGGATGTCTCGCCTTGCTAAATTATACATTGATACATGCATAAATTGATAGCATTGATGACATTGATAAATATATCAATATCATTGCTAGTATTGGATGCATTGATGTTATATAAATAGATGATACATATGAATAGATAAGATGGATTCATTTAGTGATTTATGAATAATTGTTGCATCGTTGCTTTATCGATTTATTTAATTTTATACCAATTATCAATTTTTTGATTCCTTGTAATGATTCCCTGCTTTTATTATTGACCATTTTGAGTTTTAGAAATGATATTTGGTCATTAACTATATTACCTGTTATTAATTATATTAGACTGAGCATTTTATATTGATTTTTTAGTCCTTGTATTTAAAGCTTTTGTGAGCTTTCGATTACTGCTGGGCTTTTGAGCTCATTATGTGGATTTTAATTATTTCAGGTTGAGGAAGGGGTCAGGACCAGTTGGAGTGAGGTTAACAGAGATCCTCAGGTTTTCTTTGAATTTTATTTTGTATTTTTTTAATCCTTTTATAGTCAGGAGCTTGTGATAGATTAGTAATTGTAGTGATCTCTTAACTAGTGTAAATGATATTTTGCATGAATAAATAGTAAAAGATCTTGATATATATGATTTTAGTTACTTTCGCTGGTTATTGTTTATATTGTGATAGGAAACACTTGAGTTCCCAAGTGTTTCTCACCAAAACTGAAGTTGATCCGATGGAAACTGCTGTCCACAGCAGAAATACAGCAGAAATCTGTTGTTTACAGCAGAAAAACAGCAAATTGACAAGGAAATCTGATAGAAAACGAAGAAAAACTCTTGTATTTCACTAGTAGATGAATAAAACAGCAAAGATACAATTGATCCTCAATTCGAGAGGAGGATCGATCTCTCCCAAATCTCTAGACGCCGCTAGAGCCCAAAGAAACCCTAAATCTACGAGATCTCAAATTTCAGTCAAATTCAAGATACTCAAACCCTAGAAAAAACATCTATTTAATGCATACAAATCAAAAGGAATTCCCTAAACAATCCCTACAATCAATTTCCCTCCTAAAATCCATTCAAAAACCTTCCTATTCGGGCGTGCGGGACCATCGGCGGCGTGCGTGCGTGCGGCTTCCGCCTGTTTCGCGATCTTTGGCCCGTGAACCGGTCCCGCCTGGACCGGCTGGACCGGTCTAACATATTGATGATTTATAGAAGCTCCGATATATTCTTAAAATGATAAATAGACTATTCTTTCAAATTTGATTCTGGGTCATTGCACTTGTGGACCCTCCTCTGAAGCCGAAAGAAAATTAGGATGAAACAGATTCATTGTTAATGCCATAATTGTGAAATACCATCAAGGGTGAGATGCTATTGAGTAAACATATTCAAAACTGAAGGATGCTATTCTCATATATGAGATCAAAATAAAGATCTCAACAATCAAACAAGCTCACATCCATACATTGAATATTTTAATGCAGGGTTTATTGACATGAATTGGATTATTATCAATATCACAAGATAACATGCTATGATGATGTGATAATTTTCAAATAATATATAAGAAGAGAAAATATGTTTGAGCAGGGATTCAGGATGGGCCACCGATTTCAGCAAAGTAATATAATTATATATTTATTTCATCATTTTTTAACCTGAGAGGTCAACACCTATCTTTATATATCAATATCAACCATGTTCATAACTTTAGCTTTTATTTAATTCATATGTATTCTTAGGCAATAAAGACATCAATTAATAACTCCAATAGTATATCAAAAGATCTTATCATCCAATAATGTCAAAACTTCAAACGAATGAAGTACACGGTGAATATAATTTATAGAATGACTTGCACCTAAGATATAATTTTGTATCTGTATCTTCTCATAATTTTTAAAATGTTACACTATCATTGGATTGAACTTCTATGTTTGGCTGCACATTCATTACAGCTGTAGTAATCTTTGCATGTTCATCTGCTAAACTTTTAAGACCCTCAACAAATATTCAATATCATTTGTATTAAATTGTTCAACTTGAACTGGAAGTTGCTCGAAAATGAATATTGATTATTTATTCTTTAATCTTCTTCATCGGTTAAAATATTCTCTACTCATTATATTCTATATTCTTCACACATCGATTCCATGTAATATATCCAGAAAAAAATTCCCTTCGACATTAAGTGCTAAATAACCTCTTTTATTAAATGAAACCACCTTCCAATATATGACCGACACAAACATTGAGTTTTTCGTATGAACATTGCATTAAATTGCGAACTCCAAAAATCTATCGACTCCTACGAATTCAACACTCCATCTAAGTTGGTTCATCTAACTCTTATCCATATTAAAGCTTACACATTAAGTCCTTAAATTTTTTACAAAATTCAAAATAAAACAATAGATATATTATTAAAAAAAATTAAAAGAAATAAGATTAGTATTCCTAGCCCAATAGACTTCCCACCCCTAGTTGTCTATTTATGTGTTTAGATAATCGATAATCACTCACACTAGCTGTTAATAGAGTACAAACTATATATGCATAGTGATGTGGGCGTCAATATTTGTATTGTTTGCACCATATTATGGTTCGTGAAGGTATTCATCATAATTTTTATGTACTCTTCATATGAATGTTATTCAGGTTTTTCAAATTAATTTTGATTGCTAATATAATATGCTATTATGGTTTATCATAATCAAATCATTTGTGCTTAATCTACAACACTCACATTCACAGCATCTTATCCTTTATCAACACTATCACATATTAATGTGTACTTATGATAAATTTATTTTTGTACTTAATGTTATTCATGTTACAACATACTAAAGGCTTTATGATGGATCAACCGATTTGATTGGGAGAGAATTAAGAAGTTTCCTAATTAAAAGGGAGCTGTTTAGGAATGTTCTTAATCAAAGGGGATTAATTAGGATATGTTTTCTAATTGAAGAGAACATATTTGGGACTAATTTAGAGGAGATTAATTAGGAAATATTTTCTAATATAAGAGGGCAAATTTGAGGGATGATTTAGGAGGGAAATAATTAAGGAATAGAATGGAATTAGGGGAGGGCTGTTTGGATATTTGATGTTTATTGTTTCCTTTAAGTAGATGATTTTCCTAGGGTTAGGGGTATGTGTCGTTTACTAATGTAGATTGTTCTTAGGGCGTTTGGGCTCTAGCCTGTGGCTAGAGATTTGAGAGAGCCAGATCTTCCTCTCCAATTGAAGATTCACTTGTATCTTGTCATTTCTATCATAAAACATTCAATAAAAAGTATTATTGTGTGTTTTATACCTGGTTTCTTGTTGTTTGTTTTTTGACATTGCCTAAATGAGATTTCAGCCAAGACTTTTTTTAAATTTTTGCAAGCACTTACTATCACTTTAACACTATTTTGAAGCAGTGACTAACAATTTTACTAAACGTTTAACCAAAATATAATTGATCAAATGCATGCACTAATTAAGAGATCACAAAGTTTAATTTATTATGCCTTTGCATGCGCAATCATAAACATGGCTACCATAGCATTGCCCTAAAAAAAATCTCTCATATATTCCTCATATTGTAATTCTCTCAATAAAATCATAAGATTTGTATTTAGCTCTTATAAACAACCTATCTTTATTGTTGTCAAGAATTGTTAATACGACTGCACATATTGTGAGAAAAATCCTAGCGAAAATACTCTCAATAAAAATTGTCGCCTGATGGAAAGAACAACAATAAAGTAAATTTATTAATTTTTTCAAATGACAATATAATTTCTATAATAAGTTCTGATTTATTAACAAAAAATGGTTGAAAAACTCATCATGCTTACCCTAGTGATTTTAAATATAATGATCATTAAAAAATTTTAAATTTCACAAACATCAAGATACAATGTGGCTAATTCTTGATTAAATAATATTATAATAAAATACAATTCAGCCTTTCAGACTGTAATCTACTTCAAGTAGCTCATTTAATTAATTAAAGCAATCACAAAAGCAAAAGAAACTGCAAATGATCACTATCTTGATAAAATACAATTCAAGCTACTGAAAAATCACAAAATCATAGTAAATAATGAGTTTAAGAGAACAAAAAATACAAATCCCCTGCAGCAAGCATAAGTCTATGATGTAAAAAAAGCAACAAAAGGACACCTGCGGTGGGATTTGTTGATGACAATTAAAACTGAAATGAATCATCAATGAAAGAAGTTCATCACAAAGGGAAGGCGAGCATGAGGGTGGAGTGCCCACATTAAAATTAGGGTTTTCTATTCGCAAGAAGAAACATGAGAAGTATGTTGTGCACAGTCAGGCTAGGCTTTCACATGAAGGGTCTTAAGAAAGAGGAGGTTGGATGGCAGGTTCAGATAATAGCCTTTGTAGCAGTTTTAATTGCTACTAAAATTAATAAAGTGCTAAAACATTTCTTAGCGGTTAGAACTAACAAAAAACTAATTAATGATGGCAAAAAATAACAGCAAATTAGCAATTACAGCACCTGCAATTAAATTCAGAAAACTTGCAGTGGTTAAAATTACTACAAATTAGCTAATTTTGCAGTGATTTTTAAAGCATCTATAAGGAAATTATAGTTTAGGGCCAAGGGCAGCTCTTTTAGTACTGTAAACTACATAATAAAATAGCTTCAATAGATGCAAAAAATTAGCTAGTTGGATGAAGAGTGCATAGAAGGAAAAATATACGAACTATTTAAATGCAAAGAAAAAATAAAAACAACTTCTCTGAAAATATAATAAATGCCCATACCATGCTCCACAACTAAATGTATTTAGTTTAAACAAAAAATTTCTGACATCATTCCTATAAACTAAATTTTACAGGCACCCAATAAGCTACTCCGAATTACAAGAGACAAGAGTACCAAAGCTAGTCCAGTGAATATCATAAACATCTAAATGATTGTTATGAAATAATTGACCTAAGAAAAACACTTAAAATATCATTAGATAACACCATATAAAATTTATTATGATCAAATAAATAATGAGCTACACATGAGTCATATGAGATTGTGGGATCAACAGGAATAAGCACAAGCTCTATCAATTTTCTCATGCATAAAACACTCCTTGTCCATAAAACCTTGGTAACATTCTTATTTTAAGTACTAAACTGAATTTATGCAGAAGTGCCATATACTTTCCTTTAAAAAGCTTCTTACATACATGCAGATCTTTCCACTCTCTATGTTTGTACAATTTATTCAACTTCTTTCACTGTAAAGTTAACTTTTCTATCAGAAATAGCTAAAGAATCTTGCCATGTGATTAGGTTCTAGTGTACGCGCAGTTGTCATGAGCACATGCAAATAATATAATATGCTGCAAAATTAATGGATGCTTTACAACTTACTACTCTATTTAAGTAAAACAGATTGTTATAATTTGATTGGAAACAACATGCATGAAGAGTAGCAAGCATACATTTTGGAATTTCAGTTGATCCTTCAGGAACTCCTCTCTCAATTCTCCATAAAAGGAAATGTTGTTCATCAGCCTCCTTGTCAGCCTCAACAAGTGGCGCTATACAATAAATGCAAACAATTTATCAAAAAGATATAAAACACTAATATGTGCATTCTCTTCTAAATAATCTAAGGGTCATAAGTCTTACGAATTATATTGGATGGAAAAATTCCTCGAAAACCTAAACATTCCAGCCTAGGATCTCTGTGCCATTGCCAACCCTCCTCACTTCCGTGAATAGACGACATGCTAGATTGATCAACATTACCTCCCCATCCAACTGCAGCTGCCTCTGTCTCCTGAATTTGTTCATTTTCAGAAAGTTTTCCTCCAAACCGTTGCCAACAAGAGAACTCTTCACTCACATTCTCAATATCAACTTTGGACCTTAACTTATATCTACAAAAATAATAAGGTAACTATAAGAATGATTCTCACTATTTGGAAAACTTTGTCAAAGCAAGAGAATGCTAATACAATTTTTGTAAATCAACTGGACCACTATTCTTTTAATCATCCTTTTGATATTCAATAGATAATGCATTTGTTTCTTGCTTTTTCCTTATACTTGATATTTTATATTTTCTACAAGGCCATTTTTTAGGAAGGAGCGCATTTGTTTTGAAATTAAGCAAAAACAGCGTTTTAGGAATAAAATTTAAAAAGCAGCGAATATGCCAAACGGATTGGCGCATTAATGCGCCGAACAAATTGGCGCATTCTTTGAATGCGCCGAACGTGTGCGCCGAATATTATAGCGTATTATAAAGAATGCGCTAAACAACACCGCGCATTCTTTGAATGCGCTTACACGTTCGGCGCATTCAAAGAATGCGCCAATCCGTTTGGCATATTCGCTGCTTTTTAAATTTTATTCCTAAAATGCTGTTTTTGCTTAATTTCAAAACAAATGCGCTCCTTCCTAAAAAATGGCCGTCGCAAATCATGATGATGAGGTTAATGATTCAAAAATAAAAGAAAACACAAATATTGTAGATTCAAAAATATATCACCTTCACCAATCTAAATGGATTGCCCCAAAAAAAATAAAAGAATGAAGCTCATTTAATTATTTGGGAAGGATGAACTGAAATAGATTGCTACAACAATCTAAATGGATTTTCCAAAAAAAACACAAGAATGAAGCTCATTTAATTATTTAGGAAGGATGGATTGAAACCCCGAATTAGAAAGATTAAAATAAGTTACATACCTCCCATAGATTCAAACGTTAAAAATTATGGTAGAAACATTGCTCTTCTAAAGGGAGAGATGGTTTAGACCACATATCAGCAGCTTCATGAACTTAATAGTGGAACTATACAACAATATAACAAGCATAACCCAAAAAAGGAAAAGTTGGAAAGTAATAAAGATAATTTAGCCAAATGCTTCTTCAAATACTCATTCTATTACGAGGTTATTGGCAGTTAGGAGAAAAATGCACTAGGGCCCAAGTTTAATATAATATGCTAATGGATAGGCATCCATCCAATCAAAAGATTAAGCTAATGAGTGTGACTGTGTGAGTATATGCTTTGTAAAAACCTCTAAAAACTGTTGGGAAATTTTAACTATAGGGAAAACAAAGAGCTCAAACTTTCATCTATAGTGCACATGACAAATGATGTTCTAGACTACATCCATTCAAAGTTTTGGGGGACATCTTGGATAGAATAATATTGTAGCACAAGGTATTTTTACTTTTAAATAGATAATCATTCTAGAAAGACAGGCGTATTTTTTTACTCAAGTAAATGCGGCGTTCGAAAAATGAAAAAAAAAATAACTCGTTGAGACTCAAACATGCATGACAAGCTAGAATTTTGTGTTGCTGAATTCACAAAATTTTGTAAAGATCAACATCACAAGACATTAAACATCAAGAATGACTCAACAGTAGAATGGGTTGGCAAAAAGATGATTCTTAAAAAGCTGAGGTGTATGATAATTAATGATGGATAGCCTAAACACCAAAGGGTTGAAGTGATCAAAATATGCCAATTTACTTGATCAACGTACGCCCATATTCAGCAATCGGTTTCAAGACACCCCAAGTAACTTGGAGTGAAAATCAGATGATTATTCAATACTAAAGATTATGAATATAAATCCTATGCTCACATCAAGAAGAATGCACATATAACAAATCAAATGAAGCAGATAAACTTCAGGAACACAAAAACAATTTAGCAAAGGTGAAACAGAAAGGATATATATAAGAAGAGCACAAAATGAAACTATCTAAAATAACACGATATGCTGAGGTCTTCATTTAATTCAATCAGGACTCCATTTAAACGTTTCTTAGCGTTTATACATGGGAAAAAAACCATTTTAACCATCATAAAACGATAAACATTTTTTTTTTAAAAAAAGGCAAACAGAATTAAAGCGACAAACAAATAGCCTACTTTCTGAAGCAAACCAATATCTCATCCAAGATGGAAGCATCCACATCCGCATGCAAAGTAAAGGCCTCCTCTTGTTCCCGCGGTCCCGGACCAGTCCCACTCTGATTGAGCTTCTGCTCCGGTAGTGGCGGCCGGTAAAGGAAAAGATCATAAAGGAACCGCCCCTGAGGAGTGAGCAGTGCCGCGTACCTCGGCGACGGAGACTGAAAGGGCGAATTAGGCGCCGTCAAGTACGAGGCTGAAGAGGAAGAAAAGGATGTGTTCCAATCGCCGCCTCGGCCGATGTCGACGAGGGGGCGGATGTCATTAGTTAGGAGGCCTTGTAAGAATTTGATGGTGTCAGGGCCTCTGAATCGGATCACAGAACGCGAAGCGAGGTGACAGGCCAGAGGTCCGGCGTCTTCGAGACGGCTCTCCTGCTGAGAGACTAGTCTCGTCTGGTAAAAGCGCATAATGGGGGTTCGCGGTAGTAATAAGCGGCGGAGATGGGAGAATCGGAAAAGAGGTATGCCCATTTCCTCGCCTTTTGGCTTCCGTTCTATGTTCCAGTACTGTAGTATACCCGTTCGCCAATATTCATTTGGAAATCCATTAATAAAAGACCAGTCGCTCAGTCGGCGCTCGGCCACGCATGTCGAGTCTGGGAAGACGATCTAAGAGGACGTGTCCACGCGGCCCATGCCCCTCGCATACGTGCCCGTCAAGCCCGTAAGTAAAAACATTTGGGTTCATTAAAAATTGATCATGATATTTCAATACCTATATATTAATTTTATGATAAATACCGAATAACTATTTAAATTTTATATTATATCTATTTCAAAATAAATACACAAATTAATAAAAATTGTAATTAATATTCAATTAATTACTTTTTATGTCTAAATTTATCATTAATTAAAAAAATTAGTCATATCATCATCATTTAAATATGTGGATTAATTAACATTCTACTAAAAAATGCATGAAAATCTCACAAATTCTATTGGTTCATTCATGAAAGTAGGCCAAAATAATTTTTTTTTATAAATTTTCATGAGTGTGATAATATTTTTTAATTCAATAAAATTAGCTATAAGCATGCACTATGATCATATAATAAGATGTAATTAAATACAATTAAAAGTTTAAATATGAAATAGTCAAGTAGGAGAAAATATAGAACATGGTGTAACAAATAAGTCCCTCGTCAGGTTCCTCGATCGGCATATATCACCCTGCTATACCTCAAGTGCTTTTGAGGATTGCATTTTCTCCTAATCATCTTATAATTATATATTTTTTTAGATTTGATTTTATTTCCTCAATGATAAGCCCTCTTGACTTGTTTGATCATGGATTTACATGCTCTTAAATATAGCAGGGAAGAAGTGATTGGTAAAGAGGTCTGCTCTAAAAAAAATCTCCTAAAGATCTTATCAGTTTCCTAAACCCAAAAAAAGAACATAAATCAAATAAATCATTCTTTAAGACTCTATCCATGTAATGCCATGCTTCACCAGCCTTGTGAAAGTCTTCTAAATTCAAGAGATCAAATTTGCCACTTGATTCTACCTCCACTTTATAGTTAATAAATACATCGGTGAAATTAATACTAATCAGATTAACTACCAATTGGATCTCTTGACAACATTGCACTTTTCTAACACCGAAATTCTGTCCTCTTAAGTTGAAGTCGTCATTTATTAAAGTCTTCCCAAAAGAATGACAACCCACCACTTCAACATTATTAAGACACCTAATCACAACACCTTATAAGAACTTATTAATTCATATCAACAAAATTAATAAGCAATAGTATAGAAACTATCTCAGCCTAAAATCAATAAAGCACTTCAAAAAAGGTTACTTGAATAATAACCCAAGCCTATGATTTTATTAAATCCGTTCCTAAGACTTGGCTTGGAAGAATAACCATAGAAATCTCCTCCCTAACTGGAGAAATTTTTTGCTTCCTCCTTTCTTTTGCTGGAATGAACTATCACCATCACTACGCAAAAAGCATTTCTTATTCTCTCTCTCTCCTCTCTGCTCTACTTTAAATCAAATTTTCACCATTAAGTAAACATGCTCAAGCAATTAAACAACCCTATATTATCTGATCTAATCCTTAATTATCCTTCTGTCGCATTGCATTAGTGGGACTTTTAAGTTGAATCCATATTATTGACCCTTCTGCACATCCAGTTTTTGTCACTCACAGCCCCGATGCATATTACTTATAAGATATGAAGAAAATATACAAAAAATTACTAATACAAAACCTTACAGTGAATTATCTAAATTAACACAAACTTTCGCTGAAAAAATGAGAACTTGTCCAATTTTTTAATGGAGAAAAGTTACCATGATGAATCTTTAAAATCCAACAAAACAATACACCAAGCCACTATTCATGCATTGAGCTTACAAAAAAAAAAGGATCAGTTTGGTGTTCTCAGCTTACAATAATATGCTATTCATCAGAGGTTAAAAGAGGTTTCCTAGAAAGTGTTCTGAGCTTTATGCATGTTTAAGAAAGGTGTTCGAGCAAAGGTTGTTAGATTTCATACACTCAAACTATCATTGGTGTACAATTAATAATAAACAAGTGTTGGATGATTTGTTGCATATAATATCAGGTGCCGATGGTGAGACGAAGAAAGCAAGGTATCAAAGTAAGACGATGAAGCGCCAAGCTTCTAATCCCGCAGGAAGCGCAGGCACATATGAAACAAATGATGACGGCAGTAAAGCAGGAGAAGACAAAAAAAACCATTAAAACCAAGCCAAAGACAGAGCAAAACACATCAGATTTGACCAAAGCTAAATGTTAATAAACTAAGACATGCTATTGATAGGAAATACTTGAGTTCGCAAGTAATCCAAAAGGAAATACTTGAGTTCGCAAGCAACCCTAGCAATAATTGATAAAAGCAACGAAAATAATGCAAAGATATTGATGAAATCAATCCAAAATGATAGATTGTAATAATGAAATCAAAGCAAAAGCAAACCCAAACTTCAATTCGAGAGGAGGATCGATCTCACTCAATCTCTAGATGATGAATCTAGATCCCAAGATGCTAAAGAAAAACTCCAAGAGAACCACCCAAAGCAAGCATAACCCAAACCCTAAACAAGCCATACTATTAATACATTAATTCCCTAATTCAAATAATAATAATTCCCTAATTAAAAAAAAATTAATTCCCTAATTCAATTTTTTCCTCTCACCCTAGCCACCCAACCCTCTTTACTCCTAGTAGGGCCCACTAGTGTGGGTAGCAAGAGGTAAAGGAGGCGGTACATGACCGCCTCCTATAGACCTGGGTCGGCTTTTGGGCCGGCTTGACCGGTTCATCCTGAATGAACCGGCCTAACATATATGGCTAAAAAAATGCCATTAAACGATGTTGCTGAGCCAAATGATCAACATCTTTAAACAACTTGCATGTTTCTCTGAACTAAACAGGCACTTAATATGTCTCTTATTTTCTAAGATTGGGGGTGATCTCAATAAGTAGGGTTTTTAAAGTTCTCCAAATTCATGGCTAAAATTCCAAATTTAACCTCCTTAACGCTACAGAGCCGTGATGACAACCTAAGCACGTAAGTTCATAATAAACAAACTAAGACAAATTTCTATGCACTGCCAAATGCTGGCCCTTAATGTCTTGGCACTCGAATTATATAATCTTCTGCGTTCAAAATGTTGCACAAATAGGGAAACACGATGCCAATAGTCAAGAGAAAATGATCTGATATTAATATCTGTTGGAAAACCAGCAAAGTTGAATGAAGTCATGGATGTTAATCAAAGCATTCATTTTACAAAACAAGTAGTCAAAACCATGATGCCATTAGCAATCCAAAAGACTCATCATCTATATTCCTTATGCCAGCCGAAATGATCCTCGAGTTAACAATATTCAAACAGCACTAATTTGACTTCCTAATAGGGATCCACAGGGGCTCTGAATTTTGCTCCAGCATAGATAGCAGCATCACCCAGCTCTTCCTCGATCCTCAATAGCTGAGTAGAAGAAATAAAATTCAGCATAGCATATTCGCCTTATTTTGAATTGAAGGAACATGAAAAAAAAAAAAGAGAAACGAATACATGGATAGGTTTAAATTTTCAAATTTAAATGGTTTTAAAGCTTTTTTTCACACAGAAGTCGCATAAAACCTTTAATAATTTATGAATGTATTATGAATCAATATTCTATAAATTTGAGCTTTTCATTTCTTCTTTGACTTCCATTCACTCAAATTATAGTCGTCCTGATGAGGACATCGCTTAGAGATTCAGACACGTGTACCGGCGACGGAATCGTAGATCGACGGCTACGATTCAACATCTTTACTTTTGACGCTTTATATTTTATCTAGTTGTATGCATGATATTTTATTTAGTTTGTGTTGTTTTTCCGCTTTTATCCTTATGGGGAGTATCTTGTCATTGTAGCCCGGATGGCAAGTTTGTACTTTTCTTTTCATGTTGAGAGGCCTATATATAGTGGCCCATTGTATTGTAAAAGGATGATGAATGTTTAATGAAAAATTTCTTGTGTTTCTTCTTCTTCTTGTGTGATCACTAGAGGGAAGGGAGAGAGCTCGAGGTGAGCAACTGCAAGGCCCACCAGTCGTTAGAAAAGTCCACGGCTCGTGGTAATTTCTTCTTTTCTATTTTAGTTGAGTTACCCTCATCCTCCTTCCCCTCTCCACCCGCAGGCCCCTTCTCAGGCCTACCTCCACCAATTGCTTAAACTCTCCCATCCATTTCATCCCCTAGCACCACCACATCAAGTCCAACCAACATTCAAGCCCACCTCAACCCGACGGCAAATCCCTCTTCCCCTTGGACCGCCGGCCACCTCCTCATTCATCAAGCCATTATGATGATTTCAATCATCATAATGACTCCCTAACTTAGATCCAGCATTAATGAAGAAATTAGTGAATTTTGAAATTCAAATTTCGAAATTCAAAACTTTCCTTATTTGCGAAATCTAAATAAGGAAAGTTTCTAAATTTGAATCCATTCGAAATTTAATTTTGGAGGATTCATTATTTTCCCGCCTCGTTGTCATATCTTGTTTGGAAAGAGTCTAAATCCTCCCTAATTCATTTTCCCCCTCTATCCATGCCGCTGGCCTCATGCTTGGCTCCCCCCCATTAAATCCCCAATCAATGCATTAAATACAAATTAATTTGAAATTAAATTTCAAATTAAACTCCCTCTAAATTCACTCAAATCCTGAAATTAATTTCAGGTTTAGAAATAAAACCTCTCTCCCTCTCTCTCCATGCCGCCGGCCCCATGCTTGGGCCCCTCCCATTAATCCTCAACCAATGCCTTAATTACAACTAATTTGAAATCAAATTTCAAATTGGTTTCCCTCCAAATTTACTCAAATCCTGAAATTAATTTCAGGTTTGGAATAAAACCTCTCTTCCTCTCTTGGATCAAACCTAATTCTCCCACCCTAGTCACCCCCTCTTCTCCACCTTTGGGCCGCCCCTTCTCTTTGTGTTCTCTCCTCCTCATACCTATGGTGCATGGCCGACATGAGGTCGACCACGGCTTCGCTTACAACGACCGAGGGGAAATCGACATCCTCCTCTCCCCCTTCTACGAGCCTGACTGGGAATACGACGAAACGGTGGAAAGATATGTCAAGCGCATCCTCTAATGCTTAGCAGAGATGATCGATCTCCAAAAGCCTAAGACGCCTTGGCTTCTCGTTGGGAGATCTAACCCTTGTCCGTCCGTGGCTACCTCTCCATCAACAAAGATCTTCGGTACCATCTTCCTAGTGGCAGTTTCTCTCATCGTATGCTTCATCTTCAACCGCTAAGCCTAAGAGTGATTGAGTGAGTAGGAACTCTAAGTGACCATGTCTTGATGTTATACTGTGGATTCTTGCTTACTTGCTATTAGTACTACTATTTAAATTTTGTTGTTATTGCAATTGTCTTGCTAACCTCTTATAACGGCTTACCATTATTTAATCTTACAACGAAAAGTTCTAAGAATTTAACTTGATAGAAGCATGAGTTACTAATTAGCAACGTGCAAATTCAATCTTTATTGTTACAATTCCAAAGCAACTCTTCGCATGTTTGCCTTACATCACGTCCAATATAGGAAAAGAGAAATCAGGGGGTTAAAAGTTTCAAAATAAGTTATAAGTGGCTTAAAATGTCAGCCCATCCGTCCTCATACTTTAATAAAGATTTCAAAAATTAAAAAAGCCAGTCAAAATCATAAATATAATAATTTTGATTGAATTTCAAGCAAATTACAGTAATTTATTCTAGCTTTGACAGAATCAACGAACTTAAAAGCCAGCCAAAACAAACAGATGATTTCGACCAACTTAGGATCCGGTCATATGTATGCACATTTGTCAAAACAGGTACTAAAACTATGATAGAAACTTATCATCAACATCGCAAGTAATTGAAAGGTTGACGCATTAAACTTGCCTGATTGTATTTGGCGAGACGCTCAGATCGACAAGGTGCTCCAGTCTTGATTTGGCCCTAAGAAATAAAGGATGCGTGTCAACTGTAATGTACTTGAGAGAGTATTGTAAAAGATGTGCAAAAAAAAGCAAGATAAAAATAACTCACAGTTGCCAGGCCTACGGAAAGATCAGCAATGAAAGTATCCTCGGTTTCACCACTGAATAGCGAGGAACAAAGTTAACTTGGTTATAAGAAGTAACTACTAAATATGAACCTATAGTCATTCGTACCTTCGGTGGCTTGCCATTATGCCCCAGCCAGCACGCTTAGACATCTTCACAGCTTCAATGCTCTCGGTAACAGAGCCTATCTGGTTCACCTGCCATAATATTGCAGAAATATTTTCAGAATTCCATCTCAAATAACTGTGAACTGAGTCAACAGCCAATGTGTTAATGGCATAAATACTAGCAAGAATGAAACTTGAGGCAATTGGTTCGATATAAGAAAATCAAATGAACATAGAAGAAGCTCCAACTGGATACTTCAATAACAATCAAGGAAAGAGCATTCACATGCATTACCTTCAAAAGAAGCGCGTTGCAAGTTTTTTCCTTAATAGCCTTGGCAACACGCTGTAAAATTCAAACAAGAAAATGTTGAGAACAAAAAGAAAGAAATGAGAGTATTTGGAAACTTCATAAATTTATCTAAGAGCTAAGATACTTACAGTGGGGTTAGTGACAAGAAGGTCATCGCCAACAATCTGCACTTCCTGACCAATCTCCTCAGTCAGCTTCCCATAATGGGTCCAATCATCCTGATCAAATGGGTCTTCAATAGATGCAACGTGATATTCTGATACAAATGATTTGTATACATTTTTCAGACTATCTCCTGATATCTTCTGTGAGCCATCATTGTTCTGCGGAAAGGAGCAACGTCCGTCATTAAATGTGAAGGTAAAGCAAAGTAGGAATAAAGAAAAAATTAAGGAGCTGCAGCAAACAAAACAATCAAACAAGAATGCAAGCTGAAATTTTATCCTAGCAAAACAAGAAAAGTAGCATACCTCCTCTTTGAAGTTGAGATCATATGTTTGATCCTTATCACTATAAAACTCAGAGGCAGCAACATCCATTCCAATAACAACCTATTGATAGACGCAGGTAAAAAAACAAGGGAACAGATAAATCAACAATGCATCAAATGTTATGGGAGTAAAAAAATTACACGAGTCAAAAGAAGGTACTTTGCCGGTATAACCAGACTTAGCAATAGCAGTCTTCAACAACTCAAGGCCTTCCTTGTTCTCCTGTATTTCAGTTAAACGTTAGAAAAAGGGGAAAACTTGATTCCTATAGAGAGAAAATAAACGGGGATTTGATAAATAAAGGGCAAAAATCATATTGTTCACAAAGATTACTATCTCCAGTTGACCCCAAAATGCGCAAATGCATGTGTTAACAAATTTCTTACATCGCAAATACAATAGATGCTAAGAAATAACCACACAGAGAGAATCCATCCAATAATGTAGCATGATTAGAGTAAGTTCATTGTTAGAGCACCTTCTAAAAGGAACTAGCAAAGCCAATAGTAAACTAGAATTAAGAGAAATATCATAAAGATTATGTTATGGGTTTCATGCAAAATAGAAAAAAGGATGATGGCCAACGTTAATCTGATTCAAAAAATAACGGGTCAGTCATTGACATTTTCTTAACTGCACTTTCAACACCAAAGCCACCGGTTGTGCTGTGAGGCCAAACACGGCAAAAGATATAATAGGAAGGTCAATCGATGGACACTTACAGGCAAGCAGTTTTCCTTTTAGGAAACAATACTATGACGGGAACCTTACGGTAGAAGATGATCTTTGATGCAACTAAATGATATGAATGTAAACAAAGTAAAAACATAAGAGCTTCAAAGAGATAATGAGGCAGCCTTGCAACTGTGGAAATGTGAAGAGTACACGTCATTCTGGATTACATAGACAATGAAGTAGATTAAAAGGAAGTCAAAAAATGAATTTCTTAAATTTGGAAATGATACATCTAATATCGAAATTAAAGTGGCCACCAACAATTTCTTTTAAGGAAATTACACCATTATCAGTATAAAGCACAGACCTGAATATTAGGTGCAAAACCACCTTCATCCCCAACATTGGTAGCATCTTGACCATATTTCTTCTTAATAACACCCTGGAAGAGTGGAAAACAAATCATCAGAAGAGAAAAAAGCTGCCAGAAAGAGGTTGAAAATTGGCACGTGGACAATCTATCACCTTTAGGTTGTGATAAACTTCAACACCCATCCTCATGGCTTCCTTAAATGAGGTTGCTCCAACAGGAAGGATCATAAACTCCTGAGTATGAAAACAAGCAAAAAAACACTAGTTAGAATTTTCAATAACGAGCATACTCTTTTCCAGAAAAGGAATGTCCTTTGTTAGAACAGGTCAAGCATTTCAAGAAAATAAGTAAATAACAACATAAGCTTATATCTGCACTCAACCAATGCCCACTACCACAGTTAGGATAACTCTTAATATCAATAGGGAGATAAATTTACCTGCATAGCAAGCTTGTTTCCTGCATGCGACCCTCCATTGATAACATTGAATGCTGGTACAGGTAAAACCAGATTCTTGTTTCCAGCAAGATTAGCAATATGCTGTAGATAACAGAAAATAGCTGATTTACGATGGCAAAAAAGACAATGCATAAATAAACAGTTTTCACAAACCTGGTAGAGAGGAATCTTCTTCACTGCAGCTCCAGCTTTGCATACAGCAAGAGATACTGCCAATATGGCATTTGCACCAAGCTGAAAATTAAAAAATATTAATTAAAGGCAGTCTGTAGCATGAAGCCTAAATTGATATGTTGCCCTAGAGGTTCAGAAAATGTTACAGCACCTTTTGTTTGCACCAACCCCACTGATTAGAGGTCCCATCAAGCTCTTGCACCATGAAGGTATCAATCTGTGATTGCTCTGTTGGATCCTGTAAATTTTCACAAATATATCAGCAACCACTGAGGGTCCAAAAGAAAAAAATAGCTATTACAAGATAATAACTGGACATAACTTTCCAATCAATGCCGGTCCAATGATAGCGTTCACATTCTGAACAGCCTGCATAAAGATGGATAGACAAGATAAGTTCAGCAATTTTAAAGGTAAAGTTTATTTAATCGATATACAAAGAGTTGCCTATAAAGCAATTAGAAACGGAATTAAATATTAAGCAAGACTAAATGCAATCAAAGACTACATTGAATTAAAAATTCAATTTTATTGGGTTGGAGGGACTATCTCAAGTTTAATTTTGCATAAGTTCCTGAATAACAACAATCAGTGAATCTAGCAAAACAATTTTCATGTAAATTCACAGGAATCTACAATAAGCAAACAAGATGAGAAAAATAAAAAATAAACAAAATCACTTTGTTGTTGTTGTACTTGTTCGGAAGATGCACCTATCACTCCTAGTTAAGCTAAGGAGGAAAATAAATAAATAAAATTGATCATTATATAAGTATAAAAGTAGATAAATTTTGATTTCTTTCTCTCTAAGAAGATATGATTTCTTTCTCTCTAAGAGTTTAGGTCCTTTAGTATTATTGTTGAACCAAATCAACACCACAACATTAAGGCACGTGTACTCTTAAAGTCAAACAAAGATCTCTCAACATCTCTGTTTTATGATGTCGGTATGTCTGAATAATTTAACTGCAATGGGTATCTAGCACCTACACTAGCGTTGTTGGGTCCCAAGCTCTGAATGAGAAAAGTAGGGGGTTGTGTTAGATAGTTGACAACCAACATAAAACTTGTCGAACAATCATGGCATGAGTATCAAGCACCTACCACTCTTATTCAAGCTAAAGTATGAGAAAATTTTAAACATTATATAAGCAAGCATGTATATTAAAATTTTGATTACTTTCTCTCTATGGAGATTGATAATCATGGATGAATTGTGTTTATATGTTTGATCCAAATATGTCAAGTGGAAAGCAGCTTAACCTTGGGTAAATAAGGCTAGAGAGAAGGGAAAAAAAGGTTGAGAAAATTCTTTGTATTCTCACAAGTGAACCAATTATAAGAGGAACCGATTGAACCCCTTTTGAAGAAGGAAACACTGAATAACATGAGAACATAAATCAAAAAGAGAGGGGAGAATGGAGAGGGAAGAGGAGAGGGAGAGGGAGAGGGAGAAAAGATAGATCAATCTTTTGCCAAAGGCCCGTATTCAAGGTTTTGTTTGGACAACTTTAAGCCAATTTTGTTTTCTTCAAATCACAAGCACACCGGCTTTTCACAAACCACTTTTCAACTGTTTTAAAATTTTGTTATTTATTATAGTTTTTCATGACCGAGTGCATCATCATATGTGCATATTGTGGTTTCTTAATCCAAGATTTTGCAATATTATCAATTATATTTTAAAGAAATTAAATAATAACTTCAAACAACAATTTTTCCTACAAAAGTTTTACAATAAATTTATAAACAGCAAGGGATTGAATAGTCAAACGTTTGTTGTGGCTAGCTTTGTGGATGCCATGAAGGTAGGCACATATTGGATGAATGGTATAGACAAAAATTACAGAAAAAGTCTAGTGAGGAATTTCAACATAGAATGCAAGTCAAACAATTGTTAAGCAATCCAAAACATTTATGACCTGCAATTACTGGTGAGTTAGACCAACTAGGTATGAGTCCCACATATTGCAAGGCAGGTACTACTAAATATTTGTGGTGTCTAGGCGACTTGCCTTGTCTAATTGAAAACCATTCCATGTCCCCACCATTGTTCAAGCAATTTGCCATGGATGACTCATCGGATGGCTTGTTGCATGTGAATTGTACTTAGAGCGGTTCAGTCGATTCAGTCATCTCATCTTAAGCAATTTGATTCAAGTTTAGACTTGTTCAGTTCATTGAACTAGAATGACCATTGTGCGCTTGACCCCAACACACATGTGGGTACACTGCACTTTCTAATTAAAGGGCTATTGGCTCAAAGTTATTTATATAACCATGTTATTCAGATACCATTGCAATCTATCAAAAGAGAGTGCTTCTGTTCAAAGTTTATCTTAAACTATGTTATTAGAAAGATTAATTGTGATTATGGCATTTCTCTTTGTTATCATTAAATTCACCATAAGAGATGCCAAATTTTTTGGCAGACATCAATACATAATCAAAATGTTTTTTAGATAATTGTTATTTACAGACAACAAATGAAACCAAGTTAAACAATCGATTTCTCCTAATAAGATAGCAATTACACATCACATGTCGCCAAAGCAAGCAACACCTTAACAAAAATAACATTTCAACAAAATCCGTAGGCATGCACCAGATGAGCATTCGTAAATATGGCCTTTCCCTTGGAAAAAGAGGCAATCATACCAACCTTAAGCACACCTTTGCCAAGATGTTCAGACCCTCCATCTCTAAGCTCCAAAGCTTCATAGGCTCCTATATAAGCAAAAGAAACATATCAGAGGTAAAAACATCAGCATACCACAATACACATTATAGATGACTTTCCTCATCGTTGACTGAAGTTTATGGACTGATTCCGGAACATCAAAATCTTGCACTTACTGACCATAACTAAGGACGAGCCAAAATCTACTGAAGCGCTAAGCTATTTATTCAATTGTCTCTCACTTGATTAGCAGCAGAACAAATATTTCGTTCGAACATAATCGGCAGCATATTCCAATTAAAACCCAGAAAGAAGCAAACCCATTGTATGAGATCAGATACCTGTGGAGGCACCACTGGGCACTGCAGCTCTTGCAAACGTTCCGTTGCTGAGGTGAACATCCGCCTTCCATCAACCACAAAACAAAAACAAAAATCAACATAAGTGAAGCAAATGCTTGCAATCTTTTCTGACGAATACCATAATCGCAAAAACCGAAACCGATCACTGAACGATAGATCCGGACAAATAAACGCATAAAAAACCTAAACTAAACGGCCTCAGTTCCGGAGATCACCTCAACAGTAGGGTTTCCACGGCTATCGTAAATCTGCCTAGCTTTGACAGACCTGATCGTCACCATTGTTCTCCAGAGGATGTGCGGCAACTACAGACTCAAACCAAAACCCCGCGCTATATCGACGGTAAAAGCAAGTGAAGAGTGCTGGCTACTGGGGCTATTTATAGAGGAGCGAGGTCTCGAGACTTGTCCGTAGAAAAGGACTGCAGCCGTTGGATTTAATCCAATGGTAAATGGAGAAGGCCACATTACCATTCCTGACGTGGCCTAAGTCGACGGTTTGCCAAAAAAAAAAGGATAATACTGTGTCATATAAATCACAATTTTTTATTTCTGTATCAAATATTTATTTTAAAATTAAATTAATAAATTGAAATATTTGTGCTTTTGCTAATTAATCTATTAAAATTTTAGTTAAAATAAAAACATGCTCTATGAATTCTTTTTTCCTCCCACCGGACAATGATGATTGAAACCAACAATATGTTGCCTCTCCCTCTGGACGGCCAGTATTCATTGAATCTTATGTCTTCTGGGGTTTTATTTTATTGGCTACATGGGGAGATCCTTTGGTGTCTCTCCCTGTGAATAGCCAGAATGCTGCAGGTTTCTATTCTGGTGACATTTCATTGACGTGATTTGATTTATGCTGGCAACCGGGGAGAGCCGTTTCACTGCTGCTTCGGTTACTACAGGCTTATGTTTTTGTTGTTGGGATACCGATTTTTCCATGCCCGACATTGCTGGTTTCGTTTAGAACTGAGTCCGGTTATGACCTTTTTGATCTCTCTGAGAAGGATTTTGTTTTTGTTAAGAAGTTTCCCTTGTATTTTCTCTTACAGTTTTTGTTAACCTGTAATTTTGGTGAGTTAATATACGGGCTACGCCCTAAATTTTTCCCAAAAAAAAGGCCTCCCTTTAGGCCATTACTGAGCTTTTTTTTTTTCTTTTTAAAGAGAGTTTGCAGACTAACCTCTTTCATAATTTCATTGCTCTAAAAAAGAGTTACAGGTACACTAAAAAAGAAGGAAAAATTGTAATTTTGCTGTAATCAAAGACAAAATAAACAAAGGATGCCATCATGCCAATATTTCAATTATAACCAAAAGGACCAACAAAGGCTATTAAAAAAAATTAATACTACTGCTAGACTCGGGAGGCAGCTAAAAGAAATCTCACATAAGCAATAAGAACTATCATGGAAGTAGACAAAATCCGATTGCCAGGGCGGACAGGTCATTCAAAGGAGAAATTATTTCGTTGTGTACACACATTATATAAATAGTGTATACACACTTTGAGTAAAACTATATATATATATATATATAATGTACAAAATATGTATACTTACTGTTCGGACGAAAACTTCCCGTCCATATTTCGCATGGAATAATTTCTCAATCCAAGAAAGTAATTGAAAATAACAGCCAGCCTGAAGCAGCATCAGCAAGCTGGAAAAAAAATTGCCAAAGCACCGTTGCAACCTTCCAGGGAAGGTAGAGGGGACAAAAAACTGATCATTGTTCAGCCAAAAGGATCATGAAGGACAGAAGGAGATAATGCCAGCCGATGGATTTATTATTCTGTGCGGAGTCTGAAGGGTTTTTAAAGATCAATAAAAATACGTCACATCATCATTTGGTATCCGCACAAAATAATAGCTCCAGAGAAGATCAGCAAAACAATTCACAAGCCTAGAGAACTAAAAATTGGCCAACTGAAAGTATTCAGAAAATAAAAGAACTATTAATGAAGTAATTGAAGAATCTCAGCAAAATTCTTCCTATTACTGAGGTTTTCTAAGTGCTTTTTATTTTCATGCATTATTATTATTTTATTTGCTATTTGCATACAAACAATTTTGTTTTCTTAAGTTTCTGCATCAATCTGTGTTTTTTTAATAACCTGTAAATTAATTTTAAAATAGAATTAAACATAAATTTTTTATAATTCTTATGAAATTTAACAAACTTAAAATTTTTAAAGTAAATGTGAAAATTTTATATATTTTTAATATTAAGAACTTTGTCAATAAAAGAAAAAAATTGAAAAAATTATAATAATTTCTTCAACTTCTAATGTTACAAAATTAGAAGTAGTTTGGAAAATTTTTATTAATTTCACTACACTCAAGTTATCAATATCATATATATGACTCCATTTTGGCTTTTATATTTCTAAGAATTAAAAATAGTAGGAAGAGGAAAATAATCATTATCTAAAAATTAAAAAAAATATATTATAGTTTTTCCTATTTTCAAAATCTAAAGTTTTTTAGAATTACAAGAGAATATTCTCCCTCATCATATTTAGCGAATTATTCGATATTAGATATTAAGGATAAAAGTACTTTATATAATATGATTATATATAACTTGACCAAATAAATTTTGAATTCTCTAATAAATTTTATTTTAACTAGAGAGAATTTAAAATCAATCATAAAGATGATCATATATAAAATAATTTTAATCCCGAGTTATTAATGAACTCCTATTTGTGACATTTGATTTCTTAACTTACTCGGAAATTAATAGGAATACATAAATTTAATCCTTGTATCTTAGAAACACATGAAACAAATGACAGGGAATGTTAATATAAAAAATATAGAATCCATTCTTTTAAAAAAAAAAATTGGGTAAATTTCTTTTTAATTTTTGAAAATTAGAAAATTAGTTTTCTTGAATAATTAATTCATTCAGAACCTGAATAATTAAGCGCTCAAATTTTGTGTTATGGTCACAAAGTTTTTTGTTCGTTAGAGAATTAATTGGAATTCAATTATCAAGATGTAATTAGTGATGTGATAAAATTAGCTCTAATTATGAATTTTTTATGGATGATTATTTTCTATGCAATGATTAAATCAATGGACAATTCAATCTTTTAAATTGAGTAAATTATACTATAAATTCAATGGTGCAATTTCATATTTTTTAAATGCTCATAGAATATCCTCACCTGAGACGTGACAACCGCAGTGTACGCCCAAACCTATTTTTTTTGTTAATTTTCCCGAGAGCACAAAGCTGAGGCATCACCAGCCCCAATGTCACGATGTCTGCAGAACAAATTCCTAACTTTGAATTTTCCCCTTTTCCAACCCCAAACATTGGTTCATTCAAGTCATATTAAGTATTTTAAGACTCATAATAACTAATTTACTCAGAATGAATGATCATTAATAGAAAATTATCCATATTTTGACGACAAAGACAGTCACATTGTTTGTCTAAAGGCACTCACTAACAAGGAACGTGACTCTCAATTTTGTTGATTTGATCACAATAATTTTTTCTTTCAAGGTTAATTTTCAACTTTAAAATATCTCAAAATTTTATTTTTATCAAAGATTACTAAAAATCACATTGATAATGCACACTAAGTTAAAATATATTTTTTTCCAAAAATTCCTCAAATGCATGCAGACTTATTCTTTATCCTAAGTTATAAAGATTGGGATATTCATGTCCATCTGTCGATCTGTTTAAGTTACCAAATAACATGAAAGTCATACACATTTGTTTTCCCTCCTACTGATATATCAATCAACAATTCCTCATCCCCCTCTAATGTGGATAACATATATGATTATCCAAATGTTGAACCATATCAAATGCTCTTGCATTCATTCTTGAAATTAAGATATCCCTTTATGATGAGTTTAAAATAAACATATTTAATTAGATCCCTCATATCCTTGTAATGATATAACTATAGCTGATGTCTACATCAATATGCCAATATCCCCTTCCATAATTAGATATAAATTAAAATACATCAATTTTGTAATCCCTCCAAAATGAGGAAAAACTACAACTTATCAAAAGAAATTGATTCTAAAATGTCTTACCACTTCAAATCCTATGCTTAATAATGGCCACCTTGAGCCTGCCTAATCGGGCCAACTTATAAAATTAATTTTATCATATTTTATGTCCTTGATCTCCTCCTTATTTACTGGTCAAGTCACTCTTAGAAAACTATAAATAAACTTCTCATTATTCACCGAGGGGGGAGGAAGAAGGGACCTAAGCAAGAAGAGAATGAAGAGTTCTCTTGCCACTAGACTACTCCTTGACCACCGCCAGACTTCAACCCGGTCACTGACTGTCGTCGGACTTTCGCCCGGTTACAGATAGATGTTGCATTTCTGCCTGGCCACCAATTAACACCAGACTTCAGCCTATCATTGGATTTCTACCCGACGTCGGACTTTCGTCCGTCGCCGGATTTCAACCCGACATCGGACTTTCGCCCGTCGCAGGACTTCCACCCGTCGCCGGACTTCCGCCCATCGTCGAACTTCTACCAGCCACCGGACTTTCGTAGGACTTCTACGTGACGCCAAACTTTTGCCCGTCCTCAGACTTCTACCCATTGCTAGACTTCTAGCCGATGCCTAACTTTTGCCCGACTCTAGGCTTTCGCCCGTCACCGAACTTCTGCACATCGTCAGACTTCTGCCCATCTCCAAACTTTTATCAAACTTCTACCCAACCCAGGACTTCCGTCCGTCGCCGGATCGACTTCTACCCGTCACTAAACTTTCATCGTACTTCTTCTTGACGCCAAACTTTCGCCCGTTACCGGACATCTGCCCATCACTGGACTTTTATCGGACTTCTACCCAACAGCAAACTTCGCCCATCGCCAGACTTTTGTCGGACTTCTACCTGACGTTGAACTTCCAGACGTCACCAGATTTCTGCACATCGTCGGCCTTTCGTCAGACTTCTATCCAATGCCAGACTTCCGCTCATCTCAGCATTTCTATCCGACGCCGAACTTCCACCTGTCAACGATCCTTTCGACCTCCATCACATGTCGATTACAGTCCTTTTGACCTCTATCGCCAGACAATAGTCCTTCCAACCTCTGTCGCCCGCCGATTACGATCTTTCCGACCTCCGTCTCTAGACAATGGTCTTTATGACCTTCGTCGTCTGCCGACTACGATCTTTCTGACCTCCATCACTAGACAATGTTCTTTCCGATCTCTGTCGCCCACCGACTATGGTCCTTCCAACCAAATGAGCACGCCAACAATGATTCTTCCTATTTCCACCATGTAACACACTCTATATGATGTATATTTGTTACATCATGCCAAGACCATCCCTCTAATGAAGGGCCTCTTTTGTAATCAACTGCAAATATTAATAGATTCATTTAAACTGGGCTATGACCATGATTTTTCCCCTTTTTATAGTTTTTCTCATAAAAATATTGACGTCTCTCGGACATCTGCCCATCGCCATACTTTTGTCGGACTTCTACCTGACGTTGAACTTCCAGTCGTCTCAAGATTTCTGCACATCGTCGGCCTTTCGTCAGACTTCTATCCAATGACAGACTTCCGCTCATCTCAGCATTTCTATCCGACGCCGAACTTCCGCCCGTCAACGATCCTTTCGACCTCCATCACCTGTCGATTACAGTCCTTTTGACCTCTGTCGCCAGACAATAGTCCTTCCAACCTCTGTCGCCCGCTGATTACGATCTTTCCGACCTCCGTCTCTAGACAATGATCTTTATGACCTTCGTCGTCTGCCGACTACGGCCTTTCTGACCTCCATCACTAGATTATTCTCTTGATATGATGGGAGATTAGAAAAAAAAAAAAAAAACAGACGTCAGCCATCAATGGTTGACATGCCTTGAACTTCATTTATTAGCAAGAGTCGGTCAACTACCTATGGGTTATATCAAAAGTTAGGTAACCATAGTTATTTGACTTGAATGCTCTCTTGATATTGGGTGAGATTGGGCAATCGAATTTTTTTTAAAAAAATTTGATGTTAGTACACTGTTTGATACAGAACGCCGAGTAATAACAAGATTTGGGTTGGACCATGACCAATGTAGGGCAGCACGATCAACAATGGGGGTCAATGTCTTTTGATGACTAGCAAAATATTAAAATTCTCAATAAATTCCAAATTTATTCTCTATTAAAAATCCCTTTGTGAATATATAAATATGTGGAGTATTTATAAATTTCTAGATGATGTATTCTAATAATTTCTACAATAATCCCAAGAACTCTATTTGATGATTTGAAGGAAAAAAAATACACTAATCATTTTATATATTTTTTGGATATTTGAATGCTTTAATGAAGTGATATTGAGCTTATTCATTTTGTCTTATTGTAGACATTTTGGAGGAGAATTAACCCTTCAAGTAAACTTGAGAAATTTCCATTTATTTGGTCCATTTGGTCACAAATTTAAATAGTTTTGATATTATTAGATTTACCGAGGGCTGTAAACAAAACCAGTGGAGCTTGAAGCACCCCATCTTGAACTGACTAATTAAAAGAGTTCAAGCTCAATTAAATAGATTTGAGCTAGCTCATAAGCAAACTCATTAATAATAATAATAAATAATATTAATTCAAGTGATTGTTACAACAAAATGATTAAACAACAAGAAATTTGATAAGAAATCACTTAATATAATGACGTGAGATATAATGTTTAAATAATTTTGAAAACGTAATACTTAAAACTCTTCAATTAAATTTATTTTAGATACATTTTAAATTAATAGTTTTTAAATAAGATGACTCTCAAGCTAATAAGCTGAGTCAAATCTAACTCAAATTTAATTTGTTAGATCATCAAGCTTAGCTCGTAAATTATTTATTAAACCGAGCCCAAACAAACTCATGAGCTGATTAGACTCAATTAAACCCTTAGATTCACCTCATGGAACCACACCATCTAAACTATATATCTACCAAAAGAGAATCTCAATATTAATTCCTAAAAATTATAGCTTAAATACTTGAGTGCTTCAACATCAAAAAAATTATCAAAATTCATGTTTAACTAGAAGAATTTTCTAATGTCATTTCAACATATATATATAAAATTTTATCAATTAAAATTAAATACAACGCCTAATACACATAAAAAAGCTCGAGCCAATAACAGGTAATGACAACAGTTAATTACAAATCAAATTTCACATAAAAGGCTATTAAATATTTAATTAAGCTATACTCAAACATATGATGTCTACACCAATTACCACTCCTTATAAGAACCAGGAGGAGAGGTTATTACGTGCAGAGTCCGGACATAAATTTTCGTCCGGTCTCCAATCATGTAAAGACATTTGAATCTTCTCTGTTGTATGCACCCTATGTACAAGAGAGAAAAAAAATTCAAATGTCTTCACATGATTGGAGTTCGGATGGCATCCGGACTCCATACTCCGCAACTTTAGCATAAACCAATAAATTATAACTTTAATTAATTAAAATATAATCATTTATTAAATTATATTACAAGTACAAGTTTGATCGTTTGAACTTAATATGCGCCTCTGAGTCGAATAACAATTTCAGATGAGATCGAAGTGAAATGACTTGAATGATTGAATCCTATCATTTGGGAAATATGCTACTTTTTGTGGGCAAACAAAAAAGGCCCTTAGCCTAGAGAAATTATTCTATGGGGATGCTGAACGCCGTTTGGACAGCAATCAGAATGCATCACATCACCTCATGCTCGATACCGCTTAGTACCGGGATCGTTACTACTGACGTGACACATTCTGGTTGGTCTCCGAACAGTAAACTTCGTTTGGCGTCCGCACAGAATAATTTCTCCTTAGCCCATGACATTTTATTAAAAATTTGAGAGCAAGAAAAAAAAAAAGATATCTCAAGCTCTCACTGAAAGCAGAATCAAAATGGCGAAGATCACACATTAAAACATAGAGAAAAGAATCTGCATCACCACTAATGAAAAAAATACTGTGAATAGCATCAAGTTCGATATGGGCTAACATGGGAAATAAATATAAATTTCACAAAACCTACTTAAAATGAAAAAGAAAAGAGACCACTCAGGCAAGCAGAGAGTCATGACTCAAGTCAACATGTTCGATAAAAATTGGAAACCAAATGCACAGAACAGGAAGATGTGTTACAGGACAACGTTAGTGACAAGCCGAAAAATTCTCGGGTCAGTAAGAGAACCTCAACCTCAGTTGATTGATTCATTGATGCATTAGCTTACCCTCCAGGTAGAGATATGTTAATATCTGTTGTGGAATTCCTAGCATCTCGTACAGAAGAATGTAGAGAAGCAGACCAGTTTTCTCCTCTAAAAGAAGAAGAGGTTGTGAGGATAGGCTTTGGGGTTGAAGAGCTGTGGGGCACTGGCCCTCCACTGTAGGTCTCCTCAATCTCCATACTGGACATAGGAATTGCAGCAGTCGGCATAGCTACAGCAGAATCAAGCTTTGTTTTCGTCTTCTGCTCTAGTTGGTAGCTGGGTAAAAAGCTGCCAACCACCACCTGGAAGAACAGGTAAACAGAGAATGCTTCCAGCATTTAGTTTAAATTCCACTTTAAAAGATATAGGACAGAGAAATTTAAAGATCACATGGGCTGCTGCTAGCTCATAACATCTAAATAGTGATTCTTTTCAAGGAACTTTTATTCTATCCAGTGAACGTACGCAGAGGAAGGTTCGGTTTTAGGCAAAAAAGTGCCTGTACCGAGTTTTTTGCACAGCCGCTTTTTTGCCTAAAACCGAACCTTCCTCTGCGTACGTTCACTGGATAAAATAAAAGTTCCTTTTCAAGACACAAAAAAAAAATCTACTTTAAGGGGATGTTTGGTATTGGATTGTATTTAATTTAGTATGATTTAACAAATCCTGTAAATCCGGATTTAGTAAATCCTGAGGCTGTTAAATCCTGAAAACTGTTAAACCCTGTTAAATTCTAAGAAACTGTTTGGCAACAGATTATAGGATTTAAAACAGTTAGAGTGGTATCAGAGAACAATATCCAAACTCGTGGGAACATCACGACACGGGCGCCGCATGTGATATGCCGCTCAACTGTAAATCCCGTTAAGCAGAGGAATCGGATTAGCATTTGCTCGGATTTATGCGGATTTGCGGTGTAAATCTATAAATCCAGGATTTACGTCATCGCCAGATTTACGGTCGCGCAAAATACCGTTTGGCTGGATTTAGCGTAAATCCGACTTAATTCCGCTGTAAATCTGATACCAAACAGCCTCTAAAGGCCAGCTACAGAGAATTGCTTCTGAATGTAAGAAATGACACAGCTTGACAAACTGCGAACAAAATCAATTACTGTTTGCGTTACAGACAAATAATCTTCCACTATAATTGAAGAATGTAAAAAAGATCATTAATGAAAAAAGAGTGTTCTTCATTCGAAAGAAACTCATATAACAAGATAGCAACTTGCAATATATACACTTCACTATAGATAATGTAAAGAAACTGATGGAAAGACAATTAGACTTGGCGCATTGGGTGCATTGGTAACGAGGCTGATCACAGAAGTTGTGGGAGTACAAGCTTCACAAACTTAAATGAATAAAGATAGTTGAAGCAGTTCAAGAAGAAATTTAACCTGCACGGGACTAGCAGCGACCAAAAGACCTGCAACTCCTCCCCCCACAACCCGCCCATCGGGGCTGGCCAAAGAAACGCTCATCCCACCTGATCGACTCCTTGTTCCTCCATTGTCATTTGGAGTAAATGATCCAGACAAAGAGAGTAGCTCAAACCTCCCCTGCAAAACAGCAAGAGTGGATAGGGTACAAAGCCAAAAAACAGTGTTGAAGTTGAAATAACAAAGCAAGCAAGCATCCAACAGCATCATAATCGATCATTATGACGCATTTAACCATATCCAACACAACTTTTAATCAGCAATCACTTGGCCTGACGATAGCAGTACAACATGCTACATGTGCCAAATGCCATTTCTGAAACTAATTTCTAAATATGGATAGGAAACTTCTCATGCACAACTAGTATAGAATTAAGATGAATAAGGAACAGCCCACGTTACTTGCACATGAATAGGTATCAAATCTTTCCTTTTGATCTCCAAATCACTATATTATTTTATTTCTTTCAATGAGAAATTATTTTGTGCGGACGCCGAACGCTATCCAAAAACCAATCAAAATGTGACACGTCACACCCTGCTCGGTACTGCTCAGTACCATAGCTCGGTACCGCTCGGTACACGGCTCGGTACTGCTAATGTGGCGCATTCTGTTTGGTCTCCGAACAGTAAACTACGTTCGGCGTCCGCACAAAATAATTTCTCCCTTTCAATGCAATCACCGCTTAAGAACCAAGATCAAAACTTTTTCTTGAAAAGTGCAATCCAATATAAGTTATTCGAGTTTCTCATTTAAATTTCTCTTCAAGCTCCATAAGGGATACAATAATTCATTTGATTTGATATTAACTGAATGTTGTTTTTTTATTCTTATTTATTTTCCTTTGCAAAACAATGCCACTCCTTGGCAGACCATGCACCTACCATTTCAAGATTTCTCAAATCTTTGTTTCCACATCAAGTCGTTTTCATGTGTTGTGTCAATGCTCCAAATCAATAGGAATCATCAAGTTCGCCAAAATTACCCCAAAAAGGGGCAAAAAAAGCGAAGTATACTTAAAGCATCAAACTTGAAAGCTATGCAAGCAAAGCCAGAAAAAGAGACGTGGCAACATAAGTATCAAAGGAGTTGTTAATTAAATTCCTTTTGGGAAAAAAAAAACTATTAGAGGAAATAGCTTATGTTCTTCACTAATGAAGAATTATTTCAGCTAAAGCAGTTGATGTCAAGCTTGTAGGGTATTGGATATTGGTCCAAGATTTAGGATTTTACTTTCTTTATTTTCTTAAATGACTTGTATTGTCATTGGTGTATCTATTTCTTGCCTATAATTAGATGCTATAGGCTGTACTGTAATAGGATGGTTAAGAAATAAAGAATTTGAGTTCAACTCTCTCCCTCTCCCCTTCCGTCTCTCCCTCCTCCTCTCCCAAGAAGCTCAAGAAAGAAGTGCTTCTTCCTCTTATTGAAGATCCTAACATAGGGGTTGATGCCTAATATGCATTGCGTTGGCCATAAAAAGTATTTAAGCTTTATCATGAAATTTTATATTTTTCTATGAACAATGAAGTATTGATATCTCTCGATATCCTAAGTTATTAGTTTATACAGGTTAATATTCCAATTTTTCATGAGTTTTTTGCCCCCGATTACAATGATACCACTCCAAAACATAAATAAACAATTTAGTGTATGCCCGGCAAAGGAAACTTATATATATATTTTTATAAGTATCTCTGTAAAATTACAAGCATCTCTCTTGCCACTGCTGAATCACACAAGAATGAGCAAATGCTTAATCTCCTTTTGCAAGAAGGCCAATAATTACCCTAAAAAGACGTCTTCCATTCTGTTTATTTCCAAAGAATAATTTTACACAATAGGGGCGTAACTGATATCAAAATACAGTCAAACTAAGCTCTATAAAAGTAACTAACATGTAATACACAAAATTCAAGCCATGCATAACAAATATACAATATGCAAGGAAGACTAATGAGCATTTAACAGAAATCTTACCTTATAGAGGACATACTCCTACTCATACCATATCTCAATGTTCAATCTTGACATGATGGCTTTGTTTCAGATGGCTTTCTTACTACTTCTTAAAATAGCTTTCTAGTTTAAAAATTAAAATTTATGTACTAGAAAGCTGCTTTAAAAAGCAGTAAGAAAGTTGTCCCAAACGAAACCGAAGTAATAGAATTTCAACCAAAAAAAAAAACATAAAAAATAAGGTGCAAAAACTATATTTTAATTCTCATATATGCAATGAGATGTAAGTTAAAAACCTCATAAGTTAATGTGCCACCAGAAGAATCAGGCTGGCGAAGAGTAACATTTGAAATCACGCCATTAGCTGACAAGATACAAATAGCTCGAGGTCCTTGCTGTGAAAACGATATTATCTTCATGGTAACATCCTGAAAAGAATAAGTAAATGGATAAAATACTGACAAAATAGAACTTCAAGAAGTTATAACAATCTTGTGCTCTTCAGCAGTTATTAAAAATTAAAAAATAAGGGTTGCAAGTTGTGTGTACTGGAAATGCAACTAGAATATTGTGCATGATCATTGATCAACAAGAAGTGTTCTCTGATGTTCACAGCACCTACAGGCACCTACAGAGACTCTCATTCCTCCTTAACAAATCGTTTTGATAAACCAAAATATAAACGACAGAGCACACAGGAGGGCATATATTTCATTAAATATGAGTAACAAGCATATTTTATATGATACGCTGCCTCATTACCTTCGACTTTCCAAATGGGCAATATAATTTGGATGCCTTCATACGAAGGGTATGAACCAGTTAGGCAATTAGGCTGCCATAAATCTACTTTGGTCCAAACCTAATAACCAAAATGATTCTATACCTATTTGGGTTGTGCTTATTTTGGAGAAATTATTCTGTGTGGAGTCCGGACGGCGAGAACTGTCCGGATTTGCTGTGTATTAAAAATACACAGTAAATGCTCAGCAAATACTCTGTAACTAGTATTATTGAGAATTTTGTGAGTATTTGTTAAGCATTTTGTAAGTATTCCTTGAGTATTTTATGAACATTTGCTGAGTATTTGTTGATTTACTGCGTATTTACTGAGTATTTACAAATACTCAGTAAATACGCATCAATTTGGACGGTTCTTTCAATTTGGACGGTTCTTTCCGTCTGAATTCCGCACAAAATAATTTCTCCTGATTTTTTACGCTTTTTTTTTCTCTTACTTGGTCCCTAAACTTACCCACATGACTATTTTTATCTTTTCTTAGACCAATACTCAAAAAAACAATGGAAAAGAAGAGTGACCTTTCCCCCAAGTTGGGCCCTAAATTTACCTAAATAATAGGCGACCATTTCAGGCATTTGGTCTAACCAAGCATAAGTATTGAGTCTTGTTGTGCACTAGAACAAACAAAGTGAACCCTATCTTACAATGATAAAGTTGAAATTTGAATTTTTGTAATTTTAAATTTGATTTTGATTTTTTTAATGGTTTAGCGGCCATTTTTTATTTGAAAAGATATTTGTGTTACCGATCAATTTGAAATTCGAACTTTTGTAATTTTAAATTTAAATTGATTTTTTATTTTATATTTTAATACTTTAGATGGCCATTCATAATATTACAGTTTTCTTATTCTTTTTATCGCTTGTTCTAATTGCTGTCTCGCGGCTAGTTAACTTACTTCAGCAGATAGTTTAGTTTCTATTATTATGTATTTTTGTGATTCTTCTAATGGATTCCCTATTTCTACAAATTATTTGTCCTTTAGTTTGGTGGCAGCTCCTGTAATTTCATTATTTGCAACTGGATAGCAGGACTACAACAATGTTCAGTGATTGGCTGTCTTCTTTAGTTTGGTCTTGTGATGGATGCTTCTTTGGATTCATTTTTATTTATTTATAATTTCTAATAATATTCCAAATGAATTTTAATTATAAATAGAATTTTAAGGCAATCTGTAACAATTCTTTGAATGGCCTGCATTGAATCGTAGCTAAACTTAAAATTAACGCTTCGTTTGAGACGGCTTTCTTATTGCTTCTTAAAGTAGCTTTCTAGTACAACAAATAAATTTTTTATACTAGAAAGCTACTTGAAGAAGAAGTAAGAAAACCGTCCCAAACGAAACCTAAGTCTAATTGAAAGAGAATTGTAATTTTTCAAACTTATTTTATATATGAGGAGAACCTTTGCAAACTTAGTAGTGATAAGTTTTATGAATAAATTTGTCCTAGACTGCAAGGTTTGTCAAATATCACATACACAACCGTATAAGATAGCCTAGGTAGATAAAAATGTTATTATGTGACCAAATATAGCTCATGTTATTATAAATTTACTTTTGAATATCTGTAATACAATTTAGTACTCCGAATGAAGTAAAGAAATCTTTGTGTATTCTAAACCAACATGCATTTGAGATGGGGAGTGGGTATGAGAGTTTGATCTATGCCTTAATAGCTATCAAGTTGAATGACATCATGCCTAAGATTGTAACTTCTCTGATGTCTCAAACAACTATTAACTAATTTTAAAGACATTTACTCCGCTAAGATTCTTAATAAATTACCATCACTTGAACATACATCACTCTATTGATTTAGCTCTTGGATCATCCTTGCCTAATTTATCTAATATTGGATGAATCCAAGCGCATATATTGAGCTTAGGAGATAGGTTGATGAATTACATAGAAGGTTTATTAGTGAAAGCATGATGGCTTATGTTGTACTAGCTTTGTTTGAACCTTGGAGAGAGAAAGAAGTTTGCATATGTAATTGGATTTGTAAATACATCAATAAAATCACCTTTAAACATAAATTGCATTTACCTAATTTGGATGATAAGCTAGATGTGATTAATAGAGTTGTCATCTTTCTAAAATTGACTTGAGGAGTAGGGAGTGACAACCATAAAGTGAGAATGAGAGAAAAACTATTTTTAAAGCATCTAGTGAATAAATTAGAGTGTGAAAAACCGAACAAAGTTAAACAAATATATTCAAACAATGATAGATTTTTACGATGTTGTGCAAGTTCCAAGAGGTATTATATATTGCCTAATGAGTTTGTACTTTGACCATCAAGATTTAAAACATTCGATTTCTCAAAAAAAACTTAGGTCATAAAATATATTGCATGAGTTGAGTTCTTGAATATTCTTATCTTTAAATGTTGCATTGGAACTAAGAATAAATCAACTGTTACTTTAAATAAAGTAATCATTCTACATACAATGCATGTTAAGGTACTTGGTTTTTATCATAGATTTTAATGAGAATTATCAAGAATTATATAATAATTCATCTATGCTTAACAAAGATTATATGTATAAGGTTTGTTATTTATTTAAGGATACTAGAATTTTAATTCTTAATTCATCTTCTAGAGAATTTTTATTTTAAAATTACAAGCTAAAGAAGTTACTTGGCAATTTGATTGAGGCAAAGCCATAAAAATGATTGAAGCTTTACATTATTGGCCTAATTTAAAAAGAGATGTAGCATGTATTATTTCCCTATGTAGAATTTGTTAAACGTGGTAAGAAACATAACATAGAGTTGTATGTATCTTTCCCAAATCCATATAAGCTACGCAAGGATGTTAGTATGGATTTTGAGTTATGTATGCAACAATTTTGAGAAAGTGATCGTATTTTTGTAATAGTAGACCACTTTTCAAAATGTCTCATTTCATGCCTTGTTATAAATTTGGTGATGGATTGCATATTGCTAAATTATATTTAATTAAGTGGTTAAATTGGATGGATTATCTAAAATAATTGTTTATAATTGGAATCTAAAATTCATAAGTTATTTCTAAAATAAATTTTTTGAAAAAAATGGAATACAACTTAAAATTTCAACTGTTTCTCAACCGCAAAATGGACAAATGGAAGTGGTTAATATGAGTTTGTATGATCTGTCATTTTGTTTGATAAAAAATAATCCATCTATGTTGGATTTAAAATTACATATATCTAAGTTTATATGTAATACATCTATCAATAGGTCTGCTTACGTAAGTCCATTTGGGATTGTCACAAGGTTTCAATCTAAAAACTAATAGATCTTGTTGACCTTCCAACTGAGTCTAGGTTTAGCACATTTGCACACCCATTCCAACAACATATGCATTCATTACATAAGAAATAATTATTAACAATGACAATTATAAGCATTTAGTTGATGTGAACAAAAGTTACCTAGACTTTAAATTAATGATAAAGTGATAGGGCATCTAAATTAAGAATATGTTTCGTTCAAGGACTCTTAAAAAATTAAATACTTGAAAAAATTATTCATTTAAAATCTTGCAACACATTGGAACTCTTTCCTACACATTAGAAATTCCAAAAAAATTGGCCTTTTAAGTAATTTTTGAAGTCATGATTTGACATTATTTCATGAACTTATTATCAAGTTCTTGGATGTTTATGTCTTTCACCTTGGTATGAATCTACATTCAACTCTGTTAGACCGGTCCTCCATGGACCGGTCCAGCCGGCCCAGTCCCTTGGGCCGGTCCAGATGTTTTACAGAAGGAGGAGGCTGGCGGGCTCAAGGAGGGGGAAAAAGTGGGGTCCACTTGAAATTCAAATACTTTCTTGGAGCCAAAAGGAGTGGAAGCCAGGGCTATTTGGTCCTTTTGTGTTATTTTTGAATAGTATGCATTAAGTAGGGAGAAAATAATATATTAGGGTTATGTGAATTTTGCTTGGAGTTTTCTTGTTCTTCTTTGGTGGCTAGGGCTCTAGATCGAATTCTAGAGATTGGGAGAGTGTGATCCTCCTCTCGAATAGAGGATCCTTGTTTCTACTAGTAAAATACAAGTCTTTTCTCCAAATTTCTCTAAGTTTTTCTCTGTTTTTCTACTGTTTTGGGCTGTTTTCCTGCTGGGGACAGCAGTTTGCTTTGAGATTTGTTGTAAAGGTGAATAGGAAATACTTGATTTCAAGTATTTCCTATCAAACTCACTGCCAAACAATTCTATAAAACTTGTTTATGAATTTATTTTGAATTAAGAAATAGTGTCCATGAAACTAAATTTAGGATATGAATTAATAATATAGGTTTCCTTACGGACAAATTAATGGAATTAATATATATTATAATTCATAGGAAGATAAATATTATTTGTATTAAGAAAACTAAATGGGTAGGAGAAAATGCTAAGGAGATTGATCGTTTAGGATTCAAACTATTGTATTATGGTAGCAGTCATACTAAAAATGGTATATATGTGATTATAAATAAGTGTTTGAAGGATAATGTTGTAAAATTAATAAAATTGAAGATAAAATTATAGCTTTAAATATTGTCGTTGATGATAAGATTATTAATATAATAAGCGTTTATACTCCTTAAGTCAGTTTGGATATGTGTTCAAAATTAAAATTTTAGAATAACCT